AGGCATCATTGTACATGTAGCTTTAAAAATGTGTACACCTAGTTATAAAAGTTTGAAATGTGCTGTAATGATTTTGATTGAATATAAATTTGCTAGTTTAACTGAGTAAAAGTTCTGCAAGGGCTTACGTTTGTGTAAGATTATCCATTAGTACATGTACATAATCACTTTAACACATAAACCAGAGCACAAATAATAGTATAGGTAATGCCAGTCAATTTTGTGTGTGTACATTTTGTTATTAATGTACATGTAATTAAACTTATTGTTCGATTATAATGTTAAAGTGGGTATTATGTATCTCCACTTCTGTACTCTATTTTCATCTCTTATTTTGTGACTATGTTAGGCCTTTCATTTCATCCAACTCGCTCATGGATATTGGCTAGTCTTCACAATGGAGCTATACAGCTCTGGGATTATCGAATGTGTTCACTTATTGAGAGATTTGATGAGCATGATGGCCCTGTACGTGGCATCAGTTTCCATACTAACCAGCCTCTTTTTGTATCCGGCGGTGACGACTATAAGATTAAAGTGAGGGAAAGGAGTGATGGGCTTTAGAGAGCAATTTCTCTTCTTTCATGAAGAATTTTAATTTCAATACTTGGCTAATTGATATTAATTTCTTCTCACTCCCTCCTCCCTCTCTCTCTCTCTCTCCTGTAGGTATGGAATTATAAGCAGAAGAAGTGTTTGTTTACATTACTAGGTCATTTAGACTACATTCGTACCACCTTCTTTCATCATGTTAGTTCATCATGGCCTACCTTATTCATCTTTCATACTCTCATTGTCTCTTATTTTAGGAGTATCCATGGATCATTAGTTGTTCTGATGATCAGACCATTAGGATCTGGAACTGGCAGTCAAGAACATGTATATGGTATGAAGACATTGATCCATCTCTACTTATACTGATCATATTCTCACTCATAGTGTTCTTACTGGTCACAATCATTATGTCATGTGTGCTCAGTTTCATCCCTCAGAGGACCTTGTTGCTTCTGCTTCACTTGATCAAACTATTCGTATCTGGGACGTATCTGGTGAGTCTCTAACTCTCTATAGTTTTTTTGTTACATGTACATTGTACAATTCAGTGATATTGTCCATGTGAGTGTAATAGAGAGTATTTGTGCTAGTGTAATTGATAATTGTAATTTAAATTTTGTAATTAGTGACTGACTATGTTTTGTTTACTGTTGTCACGTTCAATTATGTGCATAAAATGTACATTATGAAACAATCACATAACTTTTAATGCACATATGTTATGCATGTACGTGTACATGTACCTCTGTTAATGAAGTACCCATCACCTCGCCTAATGAAATTGGCAGGATATGCAGCATTGTTATGCTGTATTAGCAATACCGTATTTCCTCTAAAAATTCGTCACATCAAGTTTTGTATTTGTAATTTGTAAAAACGAATTTTTAGAGGGAGAGTAGCTATGAAGCTCATAAATAAATTATTTTGTCGAATTTGGAGGGATCCATTAATACACGAAACCAGCTATATACTAACCTGGCTGTTCAGAGTATCATTCTCTCATACTGAACTTAGGTAAGTGATAAAATTAGAACAACATGGAACAATAATATTAAAAACAAATTTTTAGAATGAATTATGGTAGAAATTTTGAAATAATTATTTATTTTCGAATTTAGAGCGTCGAATATTTAGAGGAATTACAGTACTAACTTTATTTGGTTTGAGAATAATTTTGAAACAGTTGAAGCAAGAGACATGAGAAACTGCATGCTTAGAAATATTTATAGGATGATCAATGATGTATGCATTGTTACAGCAAGAGACAAAGCCCAGCACTTATGCTCAAAGAAACTGATTCTTGCTTCTTTCAATTATATGCTACATTCAATGAATGCTTATGAGGATCGAACCATGCATGTTACATCATGTATGTACATGTACATGTAGGTTTTGAAGTTGAAATGCAACATGATTTTGATATGACATGAAACAAGTTCGTGCTTATAGGACTAAAACATTATGTGAAAGTGTTATATAATTTTCTACATGTTACATGAAACATGACTGAATCAGTCAAAATCAGTTGCAGAAAAGTCATGTAGAATTCACATGCAAAAAAACATGACAAAACCAGCATGTACATGTAATTTTCCATTGCTTGTTAAAGTTGTTTTGTGTTTGTCTAACCATTATTAATAGCTTGTGTTTGGCTGTTATCTTGCACTACCTAATAGTTTTTGTCTAACGGAAATGTTGTTATTCTTTTGATGTTCTCTTTCCGAAGAATTCTTTGCCAAACTTACACATACGTAACATTACATTTGTGTACTCTATGTGAATGTGTAATGTACACATGCATACAGGTCATGCAACTTGCTATGTGTATAAACTGCTTTATTAGTAGCTGGCAGCTTGCTTCATCTCATTTGTGAATAGTATACACTGAGTCATGGTTTTTAATTTTTTTTAATTTATAAGAGCATTAGATATAATTGATCAACTTAAAGCTGGTTTACAATATGACGTTAGGGACATACTGTCAATTTTAAATCAAAAGCCTGTGCAACTTGACCTTTTGATGCATGCTTTCTGCTAGAATAGAACCAGATTCTATTCTAGCATCAATGTAAGAGTAATATTGCACAGGATTAATGAATTTTTTTATCTCCTCTCTTTCTTCCCTTCTCCCTACTCTCTCTCTCTTTCTTCCTCTATTGTAGGTTTACGTAAGAAGACAGTGTCTCCTGGTTCTGGTTCCAGATTTGATGATCATCACTCCAGGTCAACTGGAGGAGGAGGAGGAGCACCCACTGATCTCTTTGGAACTGCTGATGCTATTGTGAAACATGTGCTGGAGGTTAGGGTTGAGGGAGAGAGAGGGTCTGAGTTTCAATGTTATTCCATTTATGCAGTCATGAATTTATTGATATACAAGTAGTAGTTTATTTTGTGTAAATTGGTGTAACATGGTGGAACGTGTGATTTATTCAAGCGATAAACTGTTGAAGTAGATGAATAAGAAATTAAAATCACTCAACCTATGTACAATGTACATGTAGTACGAGTACTGTGGATGCCATTTTGAGTGGCAATAGTGTACATGTACACTGTGTAGTGGAACAGGAAAATTTCCAAAGCGTTACGGTGGTCTTGATGCTATTGCTAAGTAGCAGCTACCGTATTCAGAAACTGTACATGTACTGTCACTTATAGCATAAGAATAAGCTTTGACTGTATCCTTCTATTCCCTCCAATTACATGTTGACTATAGCAAGTACTGCAGGCATGCATGCATGTACGTGTACATGTATGGAAAGAAAATGGAGGAATTTTACTCATTAGTGTGTGTGTGTGTGTGTGTGTGTGTGTGTGATTGTACATGTAATGTATATGTAGATGTTTGAACTTTGAAACAACTTTGAATGTCTATACAGCAGTAACACTGCTCTACTCAGTCACATTGCTTTTTCTCACTGGTTCTTGTATGTGTCATCAGAACAGCTAGTCTACATGTATAGTACAATAGATCCTTTTATGAACTCAATTAACTTTTAGCACTTCAGTGATTGTTGCCATGACAACAGGACTTTGATTGGTCATAATAAGGGTGTGTCTTTACAGATAATAGTTATTTTAAATTTGTTTCACTATAGCAGCCTTAGAGATGTTTAAAATATTTTAATTGCATAAATACTGAAGCCACACACTTTTAAAATATATATTCATGTTAATATACTGCATGCTTCACATGATGACACCTTTCATATTGCTTCCTTTTTTATTCCAAGGGTCATGATAGAGGTGTCAATTGGGTTAGTTTTCATCCATCCCTCCCTCTCTTGGTATCTGCTGCTGATGACAGACAGGTTAAACTATGGAGAATGAATGGTAGGATTTGTACATGAACACTGTACTTGTTGCCTCTGTCTAAATTAATTTAATTATATATTATATCTTTGATCTCCTGTTTCCTCTTTTCCTCTTCTCTCTTTCTCTCTCTCTCTCTCTCTCTCTTCCCTCCCTCTCTCTCTCTCTCTTCCCTCCCTCTCTCTCCTTTCTCTAGATGCAAAGGCTTGGGAGGTTGATACATGCAGAGGTCATTATAATAATGTCTCGTGTGTTATGTTTCATCCAAGACAAGATCTCATTATCAGTAATTCTGAGGATAGGTCAATTAGAGTCTGGGACATGTCAAAAAGGTATGTACATGTACTTTATACATGTATAATTTGTACATCAATGTGTACTGTGATTTTGAGCTCCACTATGGTGCATGCATGAACACGACATAGAATGAAATGTACATGTTTTAGTTATCTTTCCTGATCCATTTATTGATGATGTAGGACTGCTATTTATTCTCATCGTCGTGAGTCTGATCGGTTCTGGACCGTAGCTGCTCATCCCTCACTCAATATGTTTGCTGCTGGTCATGATGGAGGGATGATGGTCTTTAAACTGGAGAGGGAGAGACCAGCTTTTGGTCTACACCAGAACACACTCTATTACATTAAAGTAATGATGCGTGAATTACTGTGTATTACACAATGCACTACATGTAGACCTGTGTACTGTAGTTGTGTGGCGTATCTGTGTTTTGTAACATATGATCACATACGCTGCATGTATGCTTTTGTCTGATTACATGTATATGTGTACTACATGTGTTGTCTGTGTACATCTACTTCACAGCTTTGTACTCTTTGCTTTGTTACTTTATATTACCTTCTCTTTGTGACTCTCCTGACCTCCTTCCATTTGTTTATTAGGAGAGGTATCTAAGACGCTATGAATTGGGTACTTCTAAAGACCATCCAATAATGGCTATAAGGAGGTGAGACTATTACCAACAACCAAACTATACATACATGTATATTGTCCTATTCACTGTGGACTGTATACTGTACAGGATGATCTGTTGAAGAGAAATTGAATGACTATATTATTAGGATGAATATTAGTGATGGGCAGTTTACATTTAGCTTTTTCGAATTTGCCATTTTGTTCAATCTGAGCTGACTGAGCATGCTCAATGACATCACCATGCAGTTTAAATTCACTCAAACTCCCAATAAACCATCTTGTACGGAACATTTCATATTCATTGTGTTGATATTTAACTATGGGCAGGACCTACACTATATATTATTGTTTTTAGTGTATAAATTAAATGCTTCAATACACAGACTTAACTTGTAGATAGTTGACCTGTAAAGAGAGTCCATAGTGTGCCTCATTAGTACATTGCAATCCTAACTGCCTATAATTGTGTAATTGTCTTGGAATTTTACAAGGAAAGTTTAGTGTCAGAATTTATTGAGATTCTGTGGAACTGTACATGCACATGTACTGTAAAATTATTTTTGAATATTATTTTATTTCTTCCCACACTCTCCCTCTCTGTTCCTCTCTGTTTCTCAGAAATGGTACTCCACAGTACAGGTCCTCCCCTCACTCTCTCTCTTATAATCCTGCTGAAAATGCTATCCTAGTTTGTTCTGTAAGTATAATATATACCTCACATTGGAGAATTTGTTCAATTTAGTATATTTTGTGTAATATCCTAACAATTTACTGTTTCTACCCTGCAGAATACCACTAATACTGAAACTGCTTATTATGAATTATTTGCAATTCCTCGTGACGTCGACACTTCAAATCCTGAATGTAAATGCACTATCACAAACACCCTCACATGTTTGTACATGTATGGTATATATGTACACTGCATTCCAGTGACTGATTTTTATTTTTATTTATTTTTTTGTTGCATGTATCACTATTCCACCAATCTGTGGATGTTTCTTTTACATGTTTAAAATATTCCTTTTTCACTTTTATCTCTCTCTCTCTCTCTCTCTCTCCCTCTTCCTTCAGTTGTTGAGAGTAAAAGGTCTCCTGGTATAGCTGCTGTTTGGGTTGCTCGTAATAAATTTGCTGTCCTTGATAAGAACCACCAGGTAAACTATCCTTCGTCACTTTTACTGTACAGAGTTTTACCTGGTTTCAGTTGAATAGCAGTTAAACATATTATATGTCAATGTACTAGTAATCATCATGCAAGTATATGTACAGTACATGTACATGTACATGCACATGCATGCATGTTATTACATGTGTTCTCAGCTCTAGTTATTGTGTATTATATGCTACCTGATGTGTTACATTTCTAGCTATTAATTAAGAATCTTCGTAATGAGGTCTCAAAGAAAGTTCAGACTCCACCCTGTGACACCATCTTCTTTGCTGGTACTGGGCAACTACTCCTGAAGGATAATGAAGGAGTCACACTGTTTGATGTACAACAACAAATGTAAGGAGAGAGAGGGAGGAAGGGGGAAGGGAGAGAGAGAAAGGGGAGGGAGAGAGAGGGGGAAGGAGGGAGGGAGGGGAGGGAGAGAGGGAGGGAGAGGAGGGAAGGGAAGGGATAAGAGAGACATAGAGAAAGGGAGATAGAGAGAATTGCATATAAACATGAATGGAATTTAACTTTTTTGGTTTCTATTTATATCCTACAATATATCTGGAATTCTAACTAAAGCTTGTACAACATGTATCAATTGTTGTTTTTCTTTTTAATTTTTTAATGATAGTTCCTTGAATACTGTCCGTATTAGTAAAGTAAAGTATGTTATATGGTCAGCTGATATGACACACGTGGTGCTACTGGGAAAATTGTGTAAGTAAAGTAACTTGTACAATTTATATGAATTATTTGTACTATACTACATGTATATGAATGTATGATTGTACATGCATGGTGTTATTTTTGATGTTCAATCTTATATGAACATTCTCTCACTCTCTCTCTCTCTCTCTCTCTCTCTCTCTCCCCTTCATATTTTCTCTTGTCTTTGTCCTCTATTTTTCTCTCTTCTTTCCCTCCCCCTCCTCTGCAGCTCTTGCACTGTGTAACAGGAAGTTGGAGTGTTTATGTACAATAACTGAGAATGCTCGCCTTAAAAGTGCAGCCTGGGATGACAGCAAAGTTCTCCTCTACACGACTTCAAACCACATCAAATACTGTCTGTTTAACGGGTAATTCAATACATACATGTAATCTGGTAATTCAATACATGTACATGTAATAGTACTCATCTTATGTATTTGTGTCATTGTGTTTGCATCTATGTGCATGTATTGTGTTTTAATTAACACTTACACCATCTCATATTAAATACAGTGTATACATAATATATGCTATACATGTGTATGTATATAAGTATATTTCTTAATTACATTGTGTTTGTACTTTACATGTATACACACACTTTCCTTTGTATATATGTAGAGCATTCTTTTGGTAATTTATATAATTGATGTTTTAGTGTCAGTCTCTAATTAATGGAATTATTACAACAGTATTGTGTACAGCTTGTTAGGGGAGCTTGTGGGGATTATTTATCCCAGGGGTTCTGATATTATTTTGGGTGTTGATTTTACCTGGAGGGCTTCATGGCATGAGTGTGAATATTTTTCTTTTGTTTGTTTTTGTAATTGAAGTTGTTAATGAAGGTTAAGTTAACAGTTTGATACCTGTTAATTGTGTGTGTTATGCTAATAATAAAATTAATATATAGTGTTGTTTGTATTGCACTTATTAGCAACTATAGAGATAAAGGGAATGATGAAATCAGGCATCACAAAGGGAAGCTAATTAGCATGCTTTATGTGACAGTGTTTTCATCAAAATAGATCTGAGCTCTATTTTATTACATTGTGTGATGTTCTTGTGTTGTACATCTACATGTACGTGTGTAGCTTAATTTAATATGTGCACATGCTTAATGCCATGACCTGCAGAATTTTGTCAAATTAAAAACTGCCAAAATCTATCTCCTCCAAAATCAAGTACTATAGTAGCAATTTCTACATGTATGATATGCACAATTGTGTTTATGACTTAATTTATTTTAGTACCAAATTAATTTTATTATTTGTGACACACAGTCTGATGCTGTTTGATCACTAGCTGTAATGATGTTGTACTGTTACATGTTTATTGTGATTAGTATGTTTACCACATAATACTTGGAAATAATATCAGTCTTTTAAAAATTTTATTATGCTCATATTTAATAGTTTGATTCTATATGAGGAAAACTAAATAATTATTTTTACACTAATTATCTGTTGACACACAACTCATGCTGGGTTAGGGATGTCCCTATTTTCGTTATGTTAATTATACAATACTGATGATAATGATAATAATAATAATAGTTATTATTATTATTATTATTATTATTATTATATCTTTTTTTAATACTCAGTGACTATGGTATAATACGTACGTTGGATTTCCCAGTATACCTCACAGCAGTCAAAGGTGGTAATATATACTGCCTGGATAGAGACTGTAAGACAAGAGTACTGAATGTGGACACCACTGAATACAAATTTAAACTAGCACTGGTGGAAAAGAAATATGATGAGGTAAGTTATAAGCTATAGCTATAGGGAGGGGAGAGAAAGATTCTGATATTTTTTAATTGAATTATTCTTAAATATTGCACATGTCATATGAGTTCATGTATTATTTGCATACATGTATGTGCTAATTTGGCACACATTTATGTACATGCAGGTGTTACACATGGTTCGTACTGCAAAGCTTGTTGGTCAGTCAGTGATTGCTTATCTCCAGAAGAAAGGATATCCTGAAGTTGCTCTTCATTTTGTGAAAGATGAGAAAACAAGATTTGCACTTGCACTCGAATGTGGAAACATAGACGTGAGTTTAGTGGTATGGGAATGAGCACATTTGTATGGGAATGGAAGAGAGTCTGCCAGTATAGGAATGATGATAAGTCTTTTTTAGTATAGGAATCAAAATATGCGCATATCTATTAGTATAGGAATGACTCTAATTGTATGGGAATATGTGACAATTTAGCATTTAAAAAATGCCTTGAATTATAGCTGGTAATTTTAAACTATTATTCACACCCTCAATGGCCAAAAATTCACCAAATTAAAACCAGAAATTTCCCCTTCAAAATATTGTGATTTCTTTCTTCTTCAGATTGCACTGGAGGCAGCTAGGACAATGGATGACAAGCAATGCTGGGAGAGGCTGGCAGAGGCTGCTCTTGCTGTGGGTAATCATCAGGTTAGTGTTAGTGTGTGGGTGGACCTCCTCTCATCATTTGGTTGTAGATTGTTGAGATGTCGTATCAACGTACAAAGAACTTCGACCGTCTCACATTTTTATATTTAATAACAGGGAACATAGAAAAATTAAAGAAAATGATGAAAATTGGTTAGTATAGAAGACTAATGTACATGTATACTAGATTACAGCATTTCCACATTTCCTTCATATTCCAACAATTTATTAATCGATACGCTTGCTGGAAATCATGAGAATATTTATATTTTTTAATGAATAGAATATTTTGCTAAAATATTACCCTGAAAAGTAAGCTAGTACCGTATGGGGGTTATATTTCACTGGAAATAAATTTCGCGAATTTCGCGTTTTCATTAAATTCACGAAATTAAATTCGACAAAAGAGGTGTGGCACACTAGTAAAAATGGCTGCAGAAGGTAGGATTTGCGAAAATTTATACCAACAAATCGCAAATCTGGACAAATTCGCGAAATTTTATACCAACAAAATAAAACCCCTATACAGTATTTATGTACATCATACACTACATTATTATACATATGCATATTGTCTGTGTATGATGCATCTTTATTTCTCCCCTTTTTCCTATAGCTGAGGTACGTAAGGATATTAGCAGTCATTATCAAAGTGCTCTGTTGCTTGGAGATGTTGAGGAAAGAGTTAAAGTACTCAAAATGGCAGGACAAAGTCAGTCTTAACATTGTACCTTAAGGTTACTTTTAAATGCGGGTACTATTAATTGCGAATTTTGCGTTTGGGTTAAAAATCACAATTATTAATACACGCAATTATTAATAATGACATCATGATGCCATATAACTATTAGTAATAATTACTTAATCGCAATTTTTAATACCAGCAAAATCTACCTTGTGCTAAAATTGCAAAATTTAGTACCTGCAATTAAAATTCACTCTAAGGTATTTGATCTTTAAGAGCACATTCTGTTAATAATGTTTTGCTTTACATGTATAGATTCACTGGCCTACCTAACAGCAGCTACTCATGAACTAGCAGAAGAAACTACTTCATTAGCAGAATCACTGGCTCACTTAGAGAAAGTAATAATAAAATATAGTACATGTACATTGTACCTGCATGTATCACACGTACACTAATCAAGTAATCATGTACATGTATCTAAACTTGTTTTATACTTATAGCGTATAATAATTATACATATGCATTGTAGTACCAGTCGGATTTTGAAGCAAATTTTTAAAACCTTTTAAAATCTAATTTTGATCTCATTTTTATAAGTCAAGGTTCTGCGTAGAAAAAAGTTAAAGGTGGTTTGAGACTAATATTGTTCCTTTTTAATTTAAGTACACCATACTAGTAGACTACAATATCATGCTTTATGTATGGTTATTAGTATTAATTAGATGGTTGGTCTAAGTGATGAGCTGGCTGGTTCATTTGTTGAAGTGGTTGTCCTGATCATCCCTGACCACCATAGGCAGGACAATGATAAGTATTTGTACATGAAAAAATAGAGAAATCCCTAATAATTTTTGACAAAATTGGGCCAAAACCTATACTATGCCAGTACATGTGTATTTAATGATAAATACTACCATCACCACATGCACATACATAGTAGGTGTAAGTACATACATGTACTAGACTCTCTTGTCTTGTTTTTGTAATTACAAAGTATACATGTAATGTACATGTACATACAATACATATAAAATTATAGAATGCAGTAACACAGTACGCTCTTGTTTTTATTACACTTTTATTTATTGAACAAGACATCTAATATTTACTATATTTACTATTATTTATTTTAGTAAATTTTACTACTAGCACACTACTCGCCATCCTGTTTTCTTCCTCTCTCTCTCTCTGAGCATATGTTATACATGTACAGGTCAATACATAAATAATTCATTAAGTGCCAAACCAAAACCCAGCCTTAATAGTAACAAGTAAATAAAAAACATTAAAAATGGAAAAGTAATAGGATTGAATTGGAAAAAAGTAAAGAAACAAGAGGGTACTTGCAAACTGGTGAGGTAAGAAATCCTAAACCACTGCATAAACAATATTACCCAAAACTATTGTAATTATCCTCACAAAATAACTATGAAGCAACTAAATGCAGTGGTGTAGGATTTTTACCTCACCAGTTTGCAAGTACCCTCTTGTTTTCTTACTTTCCAATTCAGTCCTACTACTTTTTCATTTTTAATGTTTTTTATTTACTTGTTTCCATTCTTTTTCTTAAATTAATAAATTACATTCTGTTATGATTCTGTGGTTAGGTTAATGCTTATCACGTGCACATAACATCAAACCACAAACCCACGGAGTGCTGCGGCTGGATTTTGTCTTCCATTTTGTTCTCTCCTTGCTTCTTTTTGAAGCTGCCTTTGTGGCCCTTGACCCAAGCACAAAGGACTGATGTAAAAGCCAACTTGAGCAGTTCTGTAGTTTAAAAGATTATCCGGTGCATAGAAGAAGATGAAAAAGTCTGAAGAGTTTTGCAGAAATTTGAATTTGGGCCTGTTCTCCAAAGAAGCTCCCACTACAGTACAGTCCACTTTAAATGTACCAGGAAAATTGCTCAGTGAAGGAGAGGTCATCTAAGCCATTTATAAGGTTGTAGAACATAAGATAAAAGAGTTATAAGTGATTGAAAATCGTAAAAACTGCCGCCATCTTGAAAAACCGACCTCAATCCTACTTATAGGCTACTGCCTATGTAATAATAGCTAATAAAAAATAATGATTGTCTAAAGTACATGGCCAGGACATGGTCTTTTAAGTTTATTCTGCCAGGAGAAAAGAAACCAATACCTTCCAGTATGTAGTGGTAGGCCCAGTTGTGTTAGATAATAATCATAGGACCTGTGTATCTAGTGTCAGCACACATGTAACTGTACAAGCCATATTGTAACAACAGCTTTTTAAGGCAGGCAGGGTGGTGAGAGTTTGGCCATTAAAAACGTTTTAACCCCCAGTTCTGGTTCTCAAGACCGGACTGCCTAGCCTGCTGTTCACCACGGCTTTCATGCTAACACAGTAACCGTAACAGTTTATTTATATTGTCACATGGTATGATAATTGGTGTCTCTGAGTCGTGGACAGAGGGTTGAGGGCGAGATGCAAAGTAGATAGCCAGGAAAGAAGCCTAGATGGGTAGGCAGACTAGGAGCATCAACCGACTGTGGCCAACACTCTGATGTTTGACTACCAACAAGAGTTGGGCGTAGTGTCCTCACTTAAATTTAATGTCACATTATTTAATATCTCTCTCTCTCTCTCTCTCTCTCTCTCCCCACAGTTACCAGAAGTATATCCACATGCTAAGCTCCTCCTTCCATCTCCTCCAGTGTCTCAGATTGAAGAGAACTGGCCTTTATTAACAGTGTCAAAGGGTTTCTTTGAAGGAGCGATTGCTGGAGGTAAAGCAAGTGACCTCTCAACTGCAATAGGTCTACTGGAAGAGGAGGATGGAGGGGCAGGAGGATGGGGTGAGGATGCTGAACTTGAGATTGATGAAAGTAAGCTTACATGTACATGTGTACTTGTATATTGTGTATGGAATTACTATAAGTCTTAGTTTAGTTTAAAAGTATGATAGAAAATGTAACAAAAATGGAGAATTCTCTCCTTGCCAACATTTGGCCCAAGTTGTTAGCTTTGTATTAGAATTACATGTACATGTACACTTGTATTCTTGTAATGGTAGTTAATTGTGAATTTTATTAAATAATAATGATAGTTTTAGTTTTATTTATTTAAGCTTGATACATATTGTTGACTACATGTACATGCTCTTCCCTGACTATACAAAGTACTGAGAATACATGTATGTAAATATAGCTTAGACAAAAAGATATATTTTTTACAAACCAATTAAACTGTGTGGACAGAATGACAACCCAACTGCTTAGTATTAGTACCCGCCTATGCAAGCGTGGCGAGTCCAATAATAATAAGGAGGAACTCTGCATAACTGCTTGAATAGACATACATGTACCTACTCTTCATTTTGTTCCAATAATTCTAATCAAAACCATAATCTCATTTACACGTATGTGCAATGGCTTTTATAACTACACGTGTACATTTGTAAAACATAATTTCCTCTAAAAACAATACTCCTACATGTATATGTACTATTATCATTATTATTATTATATAGCTGGTGATATAGTGGAGAGAGGTGCTAATGGTGAGCTGGAGGGACTGGAGGGGGAGGAAGGAGAGGAGGGAGGGGCCGGGTGGGACATTGAAGCTGATGACCTGGATCTTCCCCCTGACCTGGTACAACCCACCTCTAATTAATAATCACGCACATGTATCTTTATTTTTAAAGGATTTGGATCATGCTGTTGGTGGAGATGTAGAGGGATATTACGTGCCCCCTGCCAAGGGGTCCAGTCAAGCTGAAGTCTGGGTCAAGAACTCACAGTTGCCTGGGGATCACGTGATGGCTGGATCCTTTGATACAGCAATGATGGTATGCTGTACCTATTGTACATGTATTTTAAAAAAACATTTTTGTTACTATAAAAATAGTAGCACATTTTGTATGGTAAATTACAAATACAGTAAAAGTGGAATATATTTTACTGCCTTTATTATTTACTTTTTAAATGTTTTTAATTTTACTGTTAACATGTGAGCTAATCAATGTAACTGACAAAAATTAACTGTTTTTTATTTTAATTTTTTATTGTAAAATTAAAGTCACCTTAAAATATTCCACTTTACGGCATTATTGCAAATTTGCAATGGCTCATTTCTGTTTCTATATTTATGTTTAATAATTTTATAATCCTAATTGATAATTATTTTTTACCACAAGTCATGTCATTATATATTAATTCATGTATTATATTTCCTGATATTCAGTTGCTTCAAGATCAAATTGGAGTCATTAGGTTTGAGCCATTCAAAGAACACTTCCTGTCTGCCTACTCTCAGAGTCGTGTTGTTGTTGAGGCCATACCTCTCCTCCCCCCACTGTTAGGGTACCCTCATCGTAACTGGAGGGAGGCAGGAGCCAAGGGAGGACTGCCTGCAACAGCTCTGAGACTCTCTGATCTCAGCAACAGACTACAAGTAAGGACCAGGAGAGGTTCATTATAAACTGTATGCAACAGGGTTTCCCACAAAGTACCCTAAGTGAGCTAAACAGCATGAACTTCATGAGCTGACCAGCGCTACAATCCTACATGGCATTTGGAGCAAATCATTCCTTAAAAAATCCTGATTGGAATTACACATGTAACTCAAATATTCTACACAGCATGAGAGCAAATGAAAATTATAAAATGGAGACTTCTCTCCTACCCATTTCTGGCGAAATTTTGCCACAGACTAAAAGCTATAGCTTTTGGCTGTTGGCCTGATTTTTGAGTAATTTTTAGATTTCATAAAAAATCTAAATTTCATTTCAATCATCTTAAAGTTGATATACAAAATTAAGATTTGCATGTACATGTATATGCATCACAAAGGATTTGTAAAATGGAGATTTCTCTTTCCACCATTTTTGACTAAATTTGGCCCAAAACTCTGTACTGTAATATGTACAGGGTCTTAGGCCCAATTTTTTAGCAGTTTGACAATCCACTGATAAGAAACTGCTTGAATGTTGTGCCAAAATCCTGTGGGAAACCTTGTGTATGTCAATACAATCAAGAGTACACAATGCCTAAGTGAACTGCCCCATCTCAGCTCCTGCAAGTGTGTAGATTTTTAATGAAATCACATTCTGCATACATGTACATGTACTGTGTATCAGAAGTTGGCATGACTGTGGGAGTATAGTTTGTCTTTCACACATTTATTGTTATTTATTTTCTTATTCCTCCTCCTCCTCACCCACTTTTTCGTTATCTAAATTAATGTATCTTCTCTAAATTCTTTTTCTCTTACTCCTTCTCTCTTCCCTCCCTCTCTCTTTCTCTCTCAGCTTGCCTATCAATCAACCACAGGTGGAAAGTTCCAAGCAGCTGTTGATATATTCAAGTCGATAATGATGGATATCCCATTGCTTGTTGTTGATAACAAAGACCAGGTAGCTGCTACTCAACACTTACTCTCAAAATGCAGAGAGTATGTTCTTGGACTGAAGATGGAGATCAGTCGTAAAGAAATGCCTAAAGTAAGGGACAAAGACAAAGGAAATTGATGCATGTGAAATTTTTACTTTTTATGCATTTTTATATAATTTATTTTTGTCTTCAGAGAAAATTTTTGTTACATGTATACATTGTACTTGTGTTTGCCACTGTTTGGTAGAAAAAATTTAGCCTCCAATTTTATTGGCGCGTTCAACTGTGACAGTGCATACATGTACATGTATGTTCAGAAATCTCAATGTTCATTTGCCAAAGCTTTTTAAATTATTTTTTTAAACCTACATGTACATTGAATCTTGAATTGAAATATCTTTTTTGTTTAGGGCACACTAGAGGAGCAGAAAAGAGTTTGTGAGGTATGACAAACGAATTTGTATAATGCACATGATGTATTGATTACTATCGTCTCTTAGGTTGCAGCTTATTTTACTCATTGTGATTTAGAACGTGTTCATAATATTTTAACTCTTAGGACGGCTCTTAATTTGTTTTACAAGGTACCCAACACACCATGACTTCTCATCACTTGCCTATTTTATTTGTCTGTAGATAAAGAATTATAAAACAGCTGCTTCTTTTGCCCGGAAACTTCTTGCTCTTGGACCTACCCCTGATGTAGCTAATAATGTATGTCCACTGTCTCTCCTCTCCTTATTCCTTCTGTTACCTCTTTCTGTACATGTACACATAAATGAATAATGAGCATAATGTACTTCCTTCAATTGGCAGGTCGCCAGGTCCCTTTAAGATTGTTGTCATTCTCATTGGCAATCTGTATTTATTTATTTATTTATGGTATTTATTTATTTATTTATATTCCCACAAAGCATCCTAAATGAACTAAACAGCATGTTTCATAAGGTGACAAGCACTACAATATAGTACATTGTACATGGTATTTAGAGCAAATTTTTAACGACCTGGGGGCGAAGCCCCCAGGTCGTTCCTATAATTGAATTCACCGTCGCGCTATCTATATATATATATTTGTATGTCCACACTTACATTTCGTCTATACACGTTGTATTGGAGAAATAACAAGCCTTAGCAACCACCCGCCCACGCTCCTTTACATGAGTGGGTGTGGTCACGGCAAACAAAATGGCAGCTTACACATGGGACAAAGTTAAGAGCTTTCTAACAGCAAGAGAGCATAGAGATACTGTCTAAAGACTTTTCTAGAAGCATTATAAGGTAGAGAGAACCTCTGTAAAGTCTTAATAATGACCAAGTTGTACTTGCAAGGTGGTGAAATCAATTATAGGAATACTTTTTACACTGTTACGCTTGTTAAAAATGTAATTTTGATCAGAATCAGATCAAATTTTCTACACAAATTACAAGAACATGGTTTTACACCATGGTACATGGTATATGGTTTTACACATTGTAGCTTTGATATTGCTTTTCTCTCTCTGTCTAATTCTAGACCCGTAAGATCTTACAAGCGTGTGATAAGAGTCAAACAGATGCCCACAAGCTTCAATATGATGAACACAATCCATTTGTGGTGTGTGGTGCCTCATATAAACCAATATACAGGTAAGTAATTCCAATAGTCATTACAACCAAAACACTGATATTATATTATTTTTTAACTTTATTTTCCCTTTTTGTAGAGGAAAAGCTTGCGAAAAATGTCCATTCTGTTCTACATCTTATCTTCCAGAATATTCTGGATCTGTCTGTACTGTTTGTGAGGTGCGTGCGTGCATGCGTGTGTGTGTGTGTGTGTGTGTGTGTGTGTACATGCATTAGTAAATATATATGTATGTATTTATGCCAAGTTCACTTTAATTGTGTGCCTGTACTACATAGATTTTAGTAAGGTGTCATTAAAACTAAATAGCTGCAAAGATGAGCAGAGCTGCATGAAAAATATACACACGACTAAATGTGGACTATTTTACCCATAGCATAATTATTATGCATAATTGATCAGTTTACCTTTTTTGAAGCTACATGTACATGTACATGCATAGCTCTAGCACATACATAACTGTGTGCATGTACGTGTATGTGTGTATAATATGTACATGATTATTCTTAATTTTTTTATTATTTTAGGTTTCTGAGGTGGGGAAGGATTGTAAAGGTCTTCGTGTCAGTGCTGTTCAATTTCGTTAACTTATTATTTGGTGGGTGGTTGGAATAATATTATTATGCAATGACTCTAGTTCAATATTTGTTTTTTTCAATTTAATATTATTATTAATAATAATTGTTAATTGTTATGTTGTTATTATTAATAATAATATTATTTAAACTGTATTATGTGACTAATAATGATAATTTTGACTGCATATACTTTTAGTTTGGCTGTCAAATAATCATGCACTACAATTGATGTAGTTTTGTAAAAATATTTTTGAGAATAGCTGTTAAGATTTTGGCTAAAGTGAGAGATGTGTATTGTTTGTTCATGCCCAATGACACAAAGTAGCTGCAAAATAGTATTTTCCAATTGTTCTCACAGAACAGAATAGCTGAATATTAGATAATTCTGTTCGATCTGTTGTAAAATAGCATGGTGATATCAACATTTGTTCCATTTCCTCTTTCTAAACAAGTCCATTTATTTGCAAAAATGGAAGGCACACTTGATGTGTGAATAGTGAAAGCTGCTCTCTGGCCTCCTTCAATGTTAGCACTAGGTTGTTGGTTGAGGGCTGAAACTATTAAAGAGGAACAATGTCTAAAAGAGTTGCCTACTCAAGGCATCAACATAATTTGTCTTCCTCTACTGATGTGTGATATTACTTGGAAAACACTACACAAATGATGCGCGACAACACTACAGTGATTAATTTGCATAACTAGTGACATCTGTTACAATTAAGCAAAACAATGTTTTTTATTTCATTTGTGTTAACCTGCATTGTGTAGTGAAGATAATAAATTATTTGTTTTTACGAAATTTTTGATTTGAGAAATGAGCATCATTAATTACACATACAAAACTTTATATAAGTGAATAAAGTATTATTACGTAATATATACAGCAGGTGACAAATTTCATTAAACTATTTCATGCAAGTATAGTCAAGTAAGTGACTTCTGAATCCCCTCCTGTATTTTTGACGTTATTGTTTATCCTGTCTCTCTCACTGATAGTATGATCACGGAGTTCATCATATAGCCCATTGTCCACTCCACTCTGTGATCCATGGACCATCCTATTGTTACTGCCACTTTGTTGAGATCTCGTGAAGTGAGGTGGAGTAGGAGGGAGCACTCTGACAACAGGGGGAAGAGGAGGGAGAGGAGCAGATCGGATTGTAGGCTCAACTAGTCTGTCCCCAAAATATTTCATTTTATAGTAAGCCGGATTAAAACTCATTGACATACTGTCGTCCTCTTTTATTGTAGATAGTGAGTATTCTGAGCCATTGAGTTTTGGATTTTTAAACAGACTTTCTGCACTAGGAGCATTTGATGGAGTGGTTGATGGTGACTGGTGTATGTCTTCAGAATTATTATCTGTTCTTTTGACACACGTCCAGTATCGACATATACAGTAGAGGACTCCTAATGTGAACGAGAGAGAAATGATGAATGTGAGGAGTGTTGAAATCACTGAAGAGGCTAATACACTGTAGAATGAAGGAAATGGAACTCCCATGATTATTAGAACTTAGAAGACTTATAAAACTAGCTCAAGACAAAGAAGCATTTGCTTTTATAGGAGATTCTATTCAGCTCCCAGTGCAGGAAAAGGTGGGGCTCATTGGGGGCGTTTGGTCCTGAGGCTGATGAATAAAATATTTTGCATTTTTTACTATTCGTGATTATTTTGGGCTTGTGTGGAAAGACTGCTCGCCTCTGAAGTTTGAAGATGTTCTCTCTAGCTTTTACATTGCTCTTAATGCTCCCGGGGCTCTCTTTATGCACTGCTAACCAAAACCTTTCATCTAAATACAACTTCAATGCGACGCTGAGGCAAGACTATTATCAACTTTACTGGAGCTTCAATGAAACCATCATAAGCTTTGCAGTTAAAGTCAGAACTACAGGATGGGTTGGACTTGGTATCTCGCCAGATGGAAGTGCTCCAGGATCTGATGTGGCCGTAGGATGGATAGATGGCTCTGGAAATTCAATGTTTCATGTATGAGGATGCTCTAATGTATTAGATCTTGAGCCTTGCATGTGATTGGGTTGTAGACTATTATGGTTGTGCATTACTGTCTAATTGACATTAAAGATGATGGTATAGATGCCCTATTGCTAGCTTGCTTGCATTGTTTACAACTTTCATAAGATGAGGAATGCTTGTGTAATTTTGTCCATAAATATCCGAAATATGTACACACTGCACTATGCGCAATACTACAGTACATAGAAAGGAAGCATTATAATTTAATAATGTTTAACCCTATGCTCCTTTATAGGATTATCATGCAGTAGAGAATAGACTAGAGAGAGATGTAATGCAGAACTGGGACCTAACAAATGCTGAGGTAGGGGATGGATATACTGTCCTGGAGTTTTACCGCAACTTGACCTCTTGTGATAATCGTGATCTTGACATAGTGGTAAATACTTCATCCTCTTCCAATTCCTTTTTCAATTCCTTTTAAAATAGGCTGAGCCAATGCAGGTTTATTATCTATGGAGTAATAATAAACCAGGCTCTTCTGGTGATTTACCTGCTCTCTCACAGAGTGGTTTTGCTGTACTAAATTTAATCGGTCGCTTGAATCCATCTGGAAACAACAGTACTAGTGATGAAGAAGAGATGCTGTTTGTGGGTGTAGAGAATGTGAGTGACTAATCCAATGAACCATGGCTCTATTAGCATATACTATTTCTCTCTAACACACACACAAACTCTCTCATTCCTTCATGTGTTAACATTATAGGCTATGGTAACAGTTGGTGGCTCATATTGGTGCAGAGCTCATAGACTTCCAAACTCTATTCGCCATAATCCCAAATACATCACAAAGGTATGTTGTAAGTAGCTATGAACAATGTTAGACTGTGTGTTATTCTGACATTGTGTGTTCAACAAAACAATGATATGCAATGTATTTATATTGAGAATAATCTTAATATAGTTTGCTGCACGGATTAGCAATGGAAGTGAAGGGATTATCAGTCACATGATTGTTCAAGTGTGCATGGGGCTAGAGAATGAGGACCTGTCTGCAGATGGACGTTCTTGTGATATGGTTTCTAATAGGTTCGACTCTTGCTTCAATCAAGATGTGATAGGAGTCTGGGGGAGAGGAGGAGAGGTAACCAGATAATGGTGTTTATAACTGATAGTTAATATTCTTCTTTCAATAGGAATTTGTCTATCCTGATAATGTTGCATATAAGTTTGGTGGATCTGGTGATCCTTTGTTTGTTGTCATAAGGATCAAGTATGATCGAACTAATGGTAATGCAACTATCAGTGTAACCTCTATTTTAAGAACTCTTGTAAAATGATGACTTTTGTAATGCATTCAATAAAGTATCTTTGAAATGAGGGCAGCTCTACATGTACCAGTATATTAAGAATAGGTATTTAGTATGGTAGCAGATTAGTGTTAGAATAAAGAGTATCTGTATTGTAGTCTGAAGTTATATTGTTGTTCCTTTACTTATGCATCTAAAGTAATTGATACTTAAACCTGACTATAACTCACTCTCTTTCTCTCTTTTAGCACTAACTGACAGTTCTGGTATTGTGTTCACATATACAAGCACTCCCAGGGAGCATAATGCTGGAATACTGTATCTGGGTCACTATCTCAATCAAAATATGGTCATTCCTCCAAGAGCAGAAAATTATACTGTACTTGGAATATGCAGTGGAGCTTGCACTGAAAACGTAAACTTGATTATTGTTATTCTTACTACTATAAAAATTTAAATTTTTAGTATTTTCCAACTGGTGGGATCAATGTATTTGCCAATCTATTTGTTGCTGGTGGTCTTGATTGTAAGTCAAATATTTGGTTATTATAACTACATTCTCAATAATATTGATAGCAACTAGCCTTGAAATATCACACACTCGTGATCTCACCTGTCCATCCGGGAATGAAGTTAGTACAGGATTGAAGGCACTGGACAGAAATTTATTCTATAGCACTAGCATGCTACAGGCTAATTATTTATCTAGTGACGTGACCATTCAGCAGGTTTGTGACTATAAGCAAGAGTGTGATTGTGATGTAATGATTCCACTGTATAGTCATGATACACTAAATAATGCATTTTTAAGGCTGACCTCATTTTTGTGGCTGTGTAATTACCTTATTATAATGGAATGAATGGAATGTGATTATTTATTATACTGATATTAGAATTTGATACATAGCAGATCATGTGTCTTTACAATGTTGATATGTCCTAATTGTTGCCATAATTATCCTTATTAATTAGCTTTACATATTTTAGGGAGACAGTTTGATACTGAGATGCAATTATAATGCATCAACTCGAGCTAAAGTCACACTGGTACGTCTATAATCAATGTTCCCTCCTCCTCAATATAATTATACTAGGGTGGGGCTGGAGTACTTAATGAATCTTGCTTGTCATTTCCAGTTTACTATCCATACACTGGAATGAGTACCTGCACTAGCTATCCTGTCTTTGATAAATACGGAGATTTTGTTGAGAATGATGTGCCGTAAGTCATCGCTTATGAATTTTATAAGTTTTAACATTCTATTAATAAAAATTGTTTAATTTAGCACATGCTAAAGTTAATGATGCGTGGCCAGTACTATAAAAACAATCAATTTGCCAATCAATTTTCACACCATACAACTGTTTGTTCATTTACATTTGTTGTAGTAGTTTAAGTAAAAATATGTAACTTGGGCCTTACTGTAATAAGATTTTTGTTGGGTTTTACGCTGTAGAAAAAATAAACCAAAAATTTATGTAGTCCACTACATTTTGATGTATTTCTAACCATTGCAAATCACTTGGTACCATTTGTTGGTTTTATTAACTATAGGAGCAGTAATGAGGGGGATTTCAATGATCTTAATCTAGATCCATTTGGGGACTCTGATCAAAGCTCTACAACTGATATAGCTAATACTATGAATGATCTAGAGTGGACAGAGGATAGAATAAGAGCCTATGAGAGACTGGTGTATACTGAAGGGAGACAATGGTCAATGTGCCCATCTAGAGTAAGCACAATTATACTTAGATTATGCATGAGAAAAACCTGCTATACGGTTGTAAGTTATTCTTTTTATCATTATTAATAGAGATCTGCTGTTGATCTCCCTGATACAAGTTGCTGTGGTTATGAGCCTGATAGTGTTTGTAGCACTGATACCAGCACTCCTTGCTGTCAGAGACAATGTGCCATGAGAGTCAATAGTGCTATTGGAGTCTCTTTCAGTGTCACTATTTTGGCTCTGTCTGCTCTACTCATCTTGATATGCTAAAACTTATTTTGCTGCTTTTTATCTTGAACTGTGTGTGTAACTTTTCATTGATTTCATCTATTCTTAAGCACGCAGTTTTAGCAATTTTATCAAATTCAATATAGACAGTTAATGTTGATGTACCATGGTGATTTTGTTTATGGTACATAAGATAACATACTTGTTATGAATAATGTTTACACTTAGCAAACTGAAAGAAATGGTTGTTTAATTGATTTCGTACTTTTCATAATTACATTAACACACCATGAAAAATTATCAGATTAGTTTATTTGGGATGGAGTAAAACTTTTTACTGAGCTATTAGGAAAATGATTATGCTTCAGAAAAATTTCTGGCAATTTTTTGAGTATATAGCTTTAGCTTAATTTTTTGAGCAAACAAAAATTCAGATTAGAATCAGATTTGATCTAAACTTTCTACATAACACAAGAATGTATCAGGGATATAGATCTATGTACCAAAGTGTTGAAAAATTTTTCCTGGCCATTTTACTGAAATACCCTGCCCATGGTGTGGCCCCACTTGGAGAATCTATAATTTTTGAAGTCAATTTTGGTAGTACACAATAAAAGTAATTGTTAAATGCTTAAGTAGATTTGACACATATCAGTACAAGTGGCTTTTACTATAATCAGTAGAAGTATGTATGCACAGTAAGTACTGTACTTAAGATTTATACAGTATAGTGCATGTATATACATACTTGTACAAAATAATATTGAACAGATGATCAGCATTGATGAATTGTGATAAGGCAATTCAAACTAAATTACTTGTTTTACGGATTTTTTTTCTCTAAAATAGAGCAGGCCGGTTGGAATAAATTAAAATATAAACAATGAAATTAATTAACTACTCATTAATTAACTTTAATAATTGTTAGTTAACCACAACTTTTAAAACAAACTATCAAAATACTCTAGCAACTTCTGTGAGTGTAGGCTTATTTAACATGAATGGCTGCTCTAACAAGTCCCAAACAGTAGATGCCACAGAGGTTTGACATACAGTGGAAGGTAAGATAGAGGAGCTTGCTCTTTTAACAGTAACAAATACATTTAGCGCCATTTTAAATCTAGCCACACCCACCACGTGGTACTGCGCATGCGCATTAGAAAATTTAAATTTATTTTGATTTTCCAAAAATTGGAGTCGGTCGGATCCGTAAACCAAGTAATTTTAATGGAACTGCCTAAAGATGAAAAAAATTTTTTACCTTAATACCAATCAGACATGTTTTACACAATAATTGTCAATACAAATAATATTACATTTACTGTTCAATTCACTATCAAAGTATTAAAAGTGTCATCACTGCGCTGATAAGAATCAGCATGAGAGCACTGACACGTGTTGTGTCTGTACCACACTTAGCATGACAGCATCTTTGACAACATGGAGCAGGCTCAGTCCCAGTACACACATCAGGAGCTTCATAAGAGCAGCAAGACACTGAAGGGACGGTGCTAGAATAACCCTATCAATAAAGGAATACAGCACAACTTAGTCATAATCATAATACCATATTTTCTCCACATGAAGACCACTGGAGTCCCTCTTGATATATGTATTGTTGATAGCCATTGATTTGGTCTTGGGTCCACTTCAGGAGATTCATAGTAGACTCTAATGTCTCAGCACTTGATCCTGGTGTCAGGCTATAAAAGGATAGCTTGTGTTCATCTCTATAAATGGAGATAAAGGATCACAATATCTACTGAATCCTTACGGGACATAGTTGTCAATGAATTGGTCCATGTTATCAAAGAGTGGTAGGCTCACACATTTTGGTAGTTCAGTCATTCGAGGATAATACACAGGAAAAGAGAGGCACATCTCCTGCAACGTGCTCTCACCTCCCTTTAAAATAAAATAATTATTGATCAAATTAATAATAAAAACAAGACCAAAATTTAATTTTATTAAATTTTTAAAGTTGCTCAAATATTGGACAAAAATTAATAGTACAGGGATATTGACGAAATTTTAATTTCCTATTTTTATAAAATTGTGTTTATGTTGCTTAGAAAGTTTGAGCTTATTCCAACAAAAATTATATTTTTTATGAATTTTTGAAGTTGCTCATCAATCGGACAAAAATCTCTGTACCAACTCTGTAAAGGGTCTTCGGTCAAAAATGGCAAGGAGAAAATTTTCCATTTTTATAATTTTTTTCTGATGCATATATATATATATATATATATATATATATATATATGTGTGTAGTCACATTGCTTAGAAAGTTTGAGTCAATCCCGAGTTCTGACAAACATTAGATTTTTATGAATTTTTAAAATTACTCAAAATCAGGCCACTATAGGGCTATTGGCCAAATTTTATCAAAAATGATAAGGAGAGAATTTTCCATTTAAAAAATTTTTTCAAATACATACATGTGTTTATGTTGTGTACGAAGTTTAAGCCAACTCTGACTAAAATTAGATTTTAAAAAAATTTTTGAAGTTGCTCAAAAATTGGTGTACCAACAACCAATGACCCTGTACAGGGTCCTTTCCTTGGTCAAAAATGGCAAGGAGAGAGTTCTTGATTTTTATATTTTTTTCTGTTAGACATACATGTATTTATGTTGCACAGAAAGCTTGAGGATTTTTATTAATAATCTTAAAGCTGCTCCAAAATCTGACCAAAGGCCCTGTACTCTTAAGCAGGATTTATAATTATGACGCTAGGCCAACGCAACATCAATTTTCAATCAAAATCGTAGGTGATTTGACCTTTTCATGCATACTTCACGCTGGAGTTGAACCAGATTCAACTTCTGCATCAATGTAACATCAGGACTAGCGTCATATTGTAAATCCGCCTTTATGCTTACTAATGTCACTCCAGTTCTGCCAGTTGTGTTGTACTTGCACTCTAGCAGTAAAGTATCACCCTATTAGTGATGTACTGTATTAAAATGCTAATATATATGATGGCTCACTGGTAATACAGTAATCTCTTGAGGTAGGTGAGTAGCTTGCTGAAAATTAAAATCATAGTGTGGATTATTTTCAATCGGTTGAAGCTCTTGATAGGCAGTTTTCCCTTCACTAGTACACTCGGCTGTGCTTAGATGGGCCAATTTTATTCCAGAACCTATAATTATTATAAATTAATTATTTTGTATTAATAATAATTGATATAACATACCTGCTAGGTGAGTGTGGAGCATGCTAGCAAATATGTGCATTCCGGAAGATGGAAAATACTATAAAATAAAGGTGCATACTAAAGTACAGATTCTCTCAATAAAAGCATAGATATATACTGTTTTAGTGCATGGACCACTGCATAATCCAATGGTTTTGAAGTTGTTTGTGTTAGGAGGTATAATCATGACTGGAGCAACAGCGTGACCAAGAAACAGGATCCCAGCATCATATTGCCTTCTTGTGTCAATGTAAGTGAAGACAATACCAGAACTATCAGTAATACCTGTAATACACATAATACTGGTGGTAATGTTTAATAAAATAATATTACAGTACATACCTGATACCTGTTCTGGATTATTATAATGCAATTGTATGACAGCAAACTGTTCACCATTTGGTCCACCAATGGGAAAGGCAACATGCTCAGGGTATACAAAATCCTACCAATGAATGAGATCATTAAACAAAATGAATGAAGTAGTGATCCCTTACTGAGCCCCCAACGGCCCATGCCGCAATTAGAGTTTGACTGAGACAATTTCTCATATTATCACTGATCTCAGTGTCACAATTCCCGCCTTTTCCTGTATCGGAGTTATCTAATCCATCACAAACATATACGAGGATATGGTGTACATAAGGTTCACTACCAGATGTAATATAAGGAGATATCTGTCAGGAACATGTATTAAAGTTTTAAAGCTATTGCTTACTCTAATGATATATTTCTCTTCTTCAGTAATGGAAGAGTCCAGAGCTACTCCTGTACACCAGTAGGTGGTTTCATAGTTTGGTATTTCAACCTACAGCAGAATTAATTGTGTATATCTATGAATTACTGTATAGCTGGTTTATCTATTTGAACTTTCATTGAAATTAATTTTTTGTAGCTTACAAAATTTTTGTTAATTTTTTAACTATTTAATTTTAGTGGATTCGAGCCTGCACAAAAATTAATTCTAAATAAACCAGTTATACAGTGCTAAAAACTACCTCATTGACTGCAATTGTGAAAGATTGAGAGTCCTCTGGTATTGGAGGTGCATTAGGTAGTCCACCACGTAGATTAATGCTAGTAGAGCCTGCAGTGGTGTGCTTGCTGAGGCTAATGCTGATCGGAAAGGAAGCTCTGTAAAAGTTGTCATTCCAGCTATACACAATACGTGCAGTTTCTAGTAAAATTTCATTATCCAAGTCATCGCAGGTGATAAAGTTGCGATAAAACTCCAGGACAGTATATCCATCCTCTACCTCAGCATTAGTTAGGAACCAGTTCTGTATTGGATCAATAGGTGGAGCATATCTCCCATAAGCATACCTATCCTAATGGAGGTGAACAGTGTAGAGATGATTAACACTTGTGTCATGAATGGGAATGACTGTATGCAAGCATGTAAGCATTTATAGTGACATTTTGTGAGGGTCATATGAGCTAAGCTATTATGTCTAATATCATCATAGACCAGTATATTGCAGGCTAGCCCATTGCATTGGCACTTACATGAAAAACTGGTCCAGAATATTGATCTACCCATCCAATAACTACATCAGATCCTGGCATCTGTCCATTTGGTGAGAGTCCAAACCCAATCCATCCAGTAGTTTGTACCTTGACTGCAAATGATATCAACTCTGTGCTACTAGAGAAGTTCCAATAGAGCCAGTAGTAGTCTTGAACTAGTACTGCATTGAACTGATATAAAGTGAGGTCAGCTTTGCCACAAACAAATCCTGGGAGCACTAGAAGGAGTAAAATAAAAGACATTGCAAATTTGCCAATGACTGATTATATGCGTGGGCGAGTGCCAATGTGTTGTCACACCCATGCATAGATCAAGCTAATTAATAACACTACTGCCTCTTACAATAATACTAGTAACAATGTTGTAAATAAATGATAGTGAGATGTACTGGGTACTGGGTGTCATAAAACTACTGCTGCTATTAACTAGCAGGGCCTGGTCTACAAGACTATACTATTACCAAATAATTAATAGTAATTATTGTATTCAGTAATATGGCTGGTACCAGTGAACCATTTATACTTGTTAAGCATTTAGACGTACGTGATGCAAATCACGTTATTACATGTATATAAACCCTAATCTTAAATACATGTACTCCTACTATTTCTTCTCACTATCAGTAATAGCAAGAGTGGATAATTATTTAGGGAGAGTGTCTAACCTGCCTATATTCTGTGATACCACAGTGCATATGTTTACATCCATTTTTTGCAAGTATACAGAGTTAATCTCAGTAATCTTCAAAGTTATGGGTGTGGCATGTATATTAGTTACAAGTAAGATACTAAACTTGTTCCACTAGTTTGATCTGGAGCAGTAGAACTAAACTGGGCTCCTCCTCCCGTCAACATGGAATCTGCAAAACCATTAAATATGTCGACTAGATGTATAAATCCAATTTACCATAGTGAAGTTACTTTCTTGCAGTATCATTTCCACTATTGGCTCCTTGTACTGTACTCTACAACAATAAAAAATAGTCACAATTCACTAAATTACTAGTGTACAACAATGAGTAGTGAAATATCTTAAGGCATAGGCCAGAAATTGACTACCACCTTTAAACATTTGATAAATCTTCATTTTCAACAATTTATGAAATCCACAAAATCACAATACTTCTAAAATCCAAATGTGTAAAGGTGTTACAAAATTGATTTGTGGGTTGAAAATAATGAAAAGATCTGATAAATCAGTTCTCAAAAGTCCGGTTAAATTTAAGAAGAGTAATTTGGGAGGTAGCAACCCCTGTTCTTTCTAACTGGGCAGGATTAAATAATGTAGTACATGTAAATGAAGAGCCAAGTTTTACATTAAGGCATGCCAAAGTTGTTAATGTGATAGTAATTTTTATCACCACTAGTGTCGTTTTAGTTAACAATAACAAAAACTAAGCCAATTTTAGTGAGCTGTTTTCCTTTTAAAACTAAAATTCAAATTCCTCAGTACTTATAACTAAAGCTAAAACTATACTAGTTCTAATTAACTATAACTAAAACTAAAATTGCACACTTTTAACTAAACTATTGCAGTATGATTAAGAGGTGTGACCACCAATACTAGCAGTGTACTGTTGGTCAGGTCATTTAGTTCATTCACTAGTTCTTAATTTTGATCGTTTAATTGTTATTACATTAACAGAAAGAGTTTGGTGAATTAAACTATCTAAATACAATTATAAAGTGATAACAACAACTAAAACTAAAAATTATTACCATTGCATACCGTAGGGCGCCTTTTTTAGGGATATAAATTTCATGGATTTTTATTTCACGGGTTTAATTTTAGCAAATTTATGCTGTCTGCCATCTTGTACTGTATTAATTTGATTTTCGCGTAAGTAATTTTTGTAAATTTTTTTAAAAATCACGAAATTTATAGCCCTCAAAAAAGGCGCCCTAGGGTAACTAAAACTAAAATTATTGTACCATACTAATCACCACAACTGAATTTCATTCATTATAACATTTCTAGGTTTGGCAATTGCTCCCCTTGACAATACTGGGAGTGCACCCCCTCAATAGATTAATAAGAGACGATAGTACACATTCTTTAAATAAATCAATGGTATGAACAATGGGAAGGTATATGGGTTCAATACAGTATTACTCTTTACAGAAGAAGCCTTGCCATACTGGAAACTATAAAGTCTAAAGACTGTCAAAGCTTGGAAACAGTAAAGAAACAAAATGAATAAATGTATAAGACAGTTAATGGGAATAAGCCAAATAAATGAGAAAGCTGACACAGTAGCCACTCTTGTCCCCCTCCCCTGGTCTGCTAGTCACCTCCTATAACTTTTAACCTTCAGAGCAAACAACAAGAGAGGGAGAGACATATTGTCTAAACCACAACCTCAGGAGAAGAAGGAGAAGAAGGACAAAGAGAAAAGAGAGAGAGAGGGAGGAGAAAGTTCTACAAAGGAGGACTCAACACTTACAATTACACATGACATTTGACATCATGAAGATAACAATCACACACATATTTATTTAATAAATAAAACCAGCAATACTCAATCATTGCATACAATGCATGTAGTGTATGCCATAGTAGTCAACTGATGAATACAATACTAAATTTAGAAAGGTATTGTACATGTATTATATTGCTACAATAGATTAATAATCATGCATGTACAATGTACATGTACAATGTACATGTACATTGTTTTAAGTATTACCTTCGGCTTCGAGTGGCTTCTGGTTGGCCCAACCTCTTCAAACCCTCCGACAATACTTTTAAGCAGCACTTTTGAGACATCACCTTCAGGCGGCTTAGCTAGTGAGGAAACTAAGAAAACGCAGAGAGAAAGGAAAGAGATTTCTGATAACCATGACCACTTTTCCTTACCGGGCTTACTTTCAAGCTGAGAGTATTGGTTCAAGTCTATTTGCTCTCATTGTGGCCATTGGCTTCAGTATTTATGCTGCTCTCCCTTGCTTCATGGGCTATAAAGACAAGCACTATAACATAAGAAGAACAATACAAATGATATTCCCATACATCAAAAAAGAAAAGAGGTCAAACACAAGTGCTACTAATGAAGAGGCAAGTAACACTAATGGAGAGGAAGGTAGCAATGCATCATCCAATCACAGGGACACAGAATATGATACAAAAATATTCAGTTACATAATTCAAGAATGGTACCTCTTCTGGCTCTGGGTTCTACTGCTAGGTGTCATCATTACTACGGTTGTCATATTCTGGCTCAATTTCTTTATAGAACGATCTTCAACATGCGACATGAATTTTGACTGTTATCCCAATGAACCATCACTGAATATATTGGACGAGAAACCTCTGCCAAACTGCTCAATATCAGAAGCAAAATGTTATCGATTTACTTGCAACATTGGGAATGCAGTTGGTCTAGCAACAGGAGCCTTTGCCTTCTCTTGGGTCATTGCATCAGCTTTTCTGTGGATCATAATACAGTTGGGAGGCAATGCACTGAAAAAGACAAAAAATAATGAAAATGATTGCAACTTTCCCTGCAAGTGCTGTACCTCTTCCTTCTCCTGTGGTGCTTGTAAATTTTTGTACGAGTGCTCCTGTTTGAAAAATGATTGGTGCTCCTGTATATATGTATTCTGTGTGATTGGATTTCAGGCATTGTTATTCCTAAGTGCACTTGGACTGGCTGGGTTTAATTTCTACCTCTACTATGAAGGGAAGATATCCATAACATGCTACTTTGAGATAGGGACATTCTGCATCCTAGTAATAGTAGCATCACTCATGATATGGTGCTGGGGGTTTAAAAATCACAAAGCTACCATAAAAAGAGAACAGCAGCAAGGATCAGGAATAGGGCGGGATAATTTTACTCTGAGTTCTCAGCATGATTTGAATAAGGCAACAAGTACCAGTGATTTAGGGCCACACAACAAAGCAACCAATACCAGTGAAGAAGAAACCTTTATAGGTGGTAGTGATGATAGAGGTATAATAATGTCTGATTATCTGGTGTGTAATAACTGGTCCGTTTTAGGTGGAAGCCCTCATGATGACAATTCAAGTTGAATAGAAGATAGAAGCAGGTGCAAGAGCTACAGAAAAATAAAATAATGTAATTTTAACTTTATTATTATTATTATTAAAAAATTTAAATGGACGTGAAGCTATGATAATAATCAAAACATAAGTCCACCACACAGATCCTCCCTGGAAAACAGGAATCCACAATACACAAAGGCACATTATCATACACAATACAACTGTTATGACATTATCAAAAGAACACAAAACACCCACAAGAGGGGCTGTACCAGGGACTTTCCCTCATAAATATCATCACACTAATGAACTATAAATTAGTTTTTAATTAATGAATGCATACTGGCAGTGGTAATCATCATATTACATTTAGCAAAACACATACGACACATATTCTGAACATAAATCCACACAATTAAATACTATGCAATAACTTTTATGCTCTGTATACATTGATGTCTTTATTGGGCGAATCAATAAATAATGCATATTATTATTATGTGTGTGGGTCATATCGCTTCTGTGTACATTATGAATGAGAGCCCTCCCTCTCCCTCTCTTCCGGCACATCACGTGGTCAATGGCTTCATAAAAACAGGCCCACCACGGTCCCTAGTCTCCAGCGGGAGCTTCTACGCTACACTAAGAACTTTGTAAAGAAACTTCTATAACACTAGCGGGAAATGGAGACTTGGAAAAAAGTTGTCATTGTTGTAATCATTGTCCTTGGCATTCTTGCAGTAGCTGGAATTATTGTAGGAGTCACTGTGCCTCTTGCTCTTAAGAAAGACTAATAGGAAAGAGGTGTGCGGCCAGAAGGCAAAAACGAATTCAACTGCAATGGATGCTCACCTCAACTGTAATTATTCCAATTTTTTGTGTACCCTTTCTCTCTCTCTATGTGTATAACAATTCCCCTTAAGTTAAACGACAGTTACAATTTTAATATTTCAATGCTATGCATGCTGTTTTACATACAATAATGACATCAATAAGGAATTTTTTAATTATATTTGCTACTTCTTTATTTCAACAAGTTGTGTACTAGTAAAACATCAGAAAAGTAACTTTAACACACACTTTTAATAATTCAATTCCAATCACAAGTTTTAAGTTATAGGCATTGAAAAAATTAAGCCAGTTTCTCAAAATGGCCTACATCATTCATCTGTAGCATTTTAAAGTTAGCTTCTAAAACACCTCCAATTTAATTTGCAGTGTGTGCAAAGACTAAAAGAATAACAGTGAGCAAAAGCTGAATCATACCAGCCAGCTCATCATCATGTGACTATTTCGTCATAAAGACGCAATCAATCTGCGGTGGTGGTCCACATGCAGCTGGGCTGGACCACTGAGTGACTGTACGTGAAAAATAGTAGCCGCCCACTACCCACTAATGAATGTAAAGAGGTAATAGATACATATGCTATGTTAGAAGTGACTGATTTTGAACTCAAACAATAACCAAAAGCATGGAACAATAGGGAATAGAGCTACATAATTAGTACCGCACTATACTAAATGCACACTGAACAGATATAGTCACAAATTTTCTCCAAGTATCAGGTACCTTAGAGTAACTTCTAATTATATACAGGTACAAAATAAAGCAATTTTAACTCTCAGTAGGTTTTGTGGGTACTACATGTATATTTGCCATTAGTAAATTATCGTTACATGGTATGTTATTACATGTACTAATAATTGTGATTTTTACTTTAATAGCAAAATTAGCAAAAAAATTCCTGTAAAAATGGCCACACCCATCAAAATTCTGTGTTATGAAAAGTGGTTTAATGTGTATAATTTTTGGACTTGCCACACTTGCCTAGTCTAGGTGAGTACGAAGCAATTGGGTTGTTGTATATGAATTGTTTAGTTTTCGGCCTATAAGCATTTGCTAGTTAACAAAGAGCAGATAATCCAGAAAGTTGAATTTTTTGAATTATTATTAAAGCCATTTGTGACTTAAATAGTGTACATATTTATGGAGTGTTATAAATAGGCTCCTTAAAATACAACAACAATTTCATTACATATATATACGTATAATACAACTTACATTCTCATTTCATGAAAGTGCTGAATAAAATGATGCTGAGGGTCGGAAGCAACCACTACAGTAACATTACTACCTATAAGATCTTAAGTAGTACATTCTCTATCTATGCTCCTAGTCACTCGAACAGTCATTGATCCATCAATCATATCCATCCAGGACCATCCTGATTCCTAACATTAACATCCTCGCAGACCAGCCACACCCAAAACCCAGCCCACCCATGCATGCACACAGCAGAAGTTGCAGGATGATTGGATCATTGTTGCAGCATGCATAATACTACAATTTGCCGATTTTTACTTCGCACTTCAGTTTAAATTAGTAAAACATAAAAGTAAAATACTATCTACAGCAATAGTTTTAGATGAACTGATGAAGAAGAATACTAATTTCCATCATCAAGAGTACATACTCTTGCTATCATATGTTGTCACTAGAGTGCTGCTATACTTATTAGCATCAGGGGCGGATCTAGGATTGGATTTTTGGGTGGGCCTTGATGATTTGGGTGTGGTAATTAGTGGGTGTGGCCAACAAGGCCTGCATTCAAAGTCAAAATTTTGAAGATTAAAGCTGTTAAAAATGAGCTTCTTTGTGGTTTACAAATTGTTTGCATAGTGATGCTTCACAGTTTACATAGTCATCCACATGAAAAAGTTGATTTTAAATTACTGCACAAAATTTTTGGGTGGGCCGGCCCAACCTGGCCCACCCCTAGATCTGCCCCTGATTAGCATAACTGTATGATTCATCTTACCCTGCATCAGACTACAGCATAATACAACAACCAATAATAGCTCCATGACTCATGATGTACTATGATGAATAAATAAGTTAGAGAGAAACCTGATGCATAACTGTTTCATTAGTATCACTAGTGAGTCATGGTCTATATAGGAACACTTGTATCATGTATGTCTATATAAATAGTATAGGCTATAATACAATGAGGTGCTCTTCCCGTATTTCTGGAAATTAATTTTATTTATTCAACTTTCCAGCAAACTTGGTAGTAAGTATATTATTTATGAACCTAAAATCAAGTAATCTGATTGGTCAATCATAACTAGGCATGGTAGAATCATACTAATATCATACTAAATAAATACCAAATAGAAATACTAATGTAACTACTACCAATCCAATTACTAAGTACTAACAGGAAATGTATTTGAATTAGTTATTGCAATACTTCCAGTAATCATCAGTTGATCATTAACTTGTGTTGATATACTGGCATTATTTATTACTGCATTATCCGATCCGGATGATGTTCTAATCATAAATAATGTGTAGTTTTGGTTCTATACATCATAATTTTACTTCACAATTTGCTATCCAAATATTGATACCACAGTTGAGACAAGAGAAACTGAAAGATACACTGTTAAGTTGTGGACATATACATGAAGCCATGTAATGTCCTAATAAAAACTGATATTATTAGATGTATAGATGACCTATTTCATGGGGAAAATCAGAAAATGATAGATACATTATTTAATACACAAGGATATCAGGTTTAGTAGTTAATAGTGTAATATTAGTATTATTATTAGTAATAGTACTGTTCACTAATTATACTTCACTGGAAATAAATTTTTGCTAATTTTGCGTTTTCATTAAATTTGCAAAATTAAATTCTACAAAAAAGGTGTGGCACACTAGGAAAATTGACCATAGAAGGTAAGATTTGGGACAAATCTGGACAAATTTGCAAAATTTTATACCAATAAAATAAAACCCTTATACGGTTATATCCAGTGATAAGTACATGCATTATCCACTATTGATAGTGATATTGATGGAGACAAAGCTAAGTATTATTTCTGTAGATGGTAGTGTAAGTGAAATGATCCAGCACTCTGACTTAACTGGAAATAAAATATAAGAACTAAAAAACACAAAAATCTCAATGTCCCCGGTTAGAAATATGCCGATTTCTAGAAAATACCTTGGTATGTTTTTTGACTCTAAAAAAATTGTTGATGACAATAAAAATATTGATATGGAGTCAAAATTTTCTGAAAGCCAAAGCTATGCACGGTAATATTGATTGTAATGTACACACATCTCTAATTTTAGTCACTAAAATGTTTTTATAACTATAATTACAATGAGTCACAAGTTAACTGCTCCTCCTCTGTTTCCTCTTATTTCTTCATAAGTAGGATTAGTATTAATCATTAATGTGTTAAATTCATATGCTTCATTACATGCAGTAGGTATATTTTGTTGTGATGAGGCAGACCCTGTAATTAATAATTATAATAAATAAATAACAACAACAATACTTACTGTATAACTTCTTTTTGTATGTAATAACAAGCACAATGAGACTTATGATTATTAGTAGTAATAATACAATAACAACACTCAATGATATTGCTGTGACAATAACTATAATAACATACATAATGTATCATATGCATAGTGTCATATACTAACCAATGCTGATGCTAAAACCTGTTGAAACAGATGTGCCAGTAGTAGGGGATGTTTGTACAGTAGTAGTGACATTAGTGTTGTTAGGAGAAGGAGGGTATGTATCTGTTAATGCAACACTTCAATATGTAGTAACATAGATATACTTACCAAATGCTAGTATAAATGGTTCACTACTACCAGCCTCATTACTAAATACAATACTGATATTACACTGTTGGTTTAATGGTACTGATATTAATCCTGTAATATCATTCATATTCCTTATTTGGTAAGTTGTACTACTATCAATTCCATTACATATTACAGTAACTATAACATGTTTAGGGGCTTCACCAATGCACTTCAAAATAATCTATAAATTAATAATAACAGTTATTATAACAATAATAACAAACTGGAAAATAGAACTGGACAATAACCACATCTTGTGTATAATAGAGCACGTCAAGTGATGTATTTTGTGGAACTCTAGGTACTATAACAATGTAATATACATAGTCAGTTAGGTACATGTACCTCTTTGATATGAGAATGTATCATTAATAGATATTCCTTCTCCTAATTCATTAACTCCAGTTATAACATATGTGTAACGATGAATCAATATATTACTATCCACAAACTGATAACTGGTATCATATACTGATACATTCTTTACTAGACTACCAGTAATAGCATTATATATTCTTAGTATGTAATACTGTATAGGTACTCTATCATCAACTGCAGGAGCGGTCCACGTTATATTAATACTAGAACAGTTGTCAATTGAAGAGTCAATGTTAGTAACTGGTCCAAGAAAACCTAAACAAGAATTAAGAAAAAAGTTAAAGTTTGTAAAACATATTTTGCCTTACTAAACCCAAAAGATGACATGTCATTAAATGTTCCTCCATTATTACTCAGTGATACATTAACAGTAAATGCATTCAAAGTAGTTATTGAAGCTACAATCATCAGTTGATCATTAACTTGTGGAACTATCACACTGGTATTTTTTATTAATGCATTATTAGTATTCAGTATAGTAACCATGATACTATTAGGATACTCTCCTTTACATAATGTACTGACCTATGAGTGAGTAAGTGTGTGAGAAATTAGGTAAACTAAAACTAGTGTATAATAACTACATAGCTAAATATACTTACATCAATGCTGATATTTAGTGATACTTGTTGTCCATCAATTACTGGTACCACTGATACAGGAGGAGTAATGAGAGGAACTGAAAGATACACTGTGAGCATATGCATCAAGGTATAGTAGTTCTAACCTGTTTCATAATCAAAACTGATATTATTAGATGAACCTACTCCAACATCATTAATAGGAGAAACTGATACATTATTTAATACACAGGGATTAGGATTAGTAGTTGATAATGTAATATTAGTATTATTATTAGGAGTAGTAATGTTCACTAATCCATTGACTATATAGTATCCAGTGATAGGTACATTATCCAGTGTATAAGGAGCTGTCCATGTTAATAATACACTGGATCCATTAATAAAGGTATAATTCAGATCAACAACACTATCCAATAGACCTGATAAGAAACAATGAATGTACCATACCCATATAAGAAATAGAAAATAATAATAACCTTGTATCATTAATATTGCTGTATTACTAAACACTGTTTCAGGAGGTTCATCACTACTAGCTCTACACTTTACTTCAGTATTATTATTATATTCATAAGCTGGTCCTTGTAGTTCTGCTCTTATAGTATAAGTACCACTTATTGATGTACTAAATCCTTTAGCCATAACACCTGCATTAGTGGCTGGCAGATTATTAACTCTGAAAGTAAGTTCATCAGCCACAGCTTGACAGGAGAAGACAACAACTGAGTTAAGTGTTACATTAAAGGATACTGGCTGTACTGTTATATCTATAAACATTATGAAACAATAAAATGAATGAATAAAATAATTATTATTATACTTACTAGCGCAATCAATGTACTGCAGCAAAAGAAGGAAAATTAAATGCAGCATTATAGACTAGATCTAATCAGTGAATTAAGGGTGTGACCTATGATGCTTGCATGCTTGCATGCAAGCATGCTATAAGTGCTACTCCCATCTTACCAATGGCATTGGTAGATCTATCACATGATGCAAAATTTCAAAAATAATTTTAGACTTTTGAGCACCAGAATAAATGAATGAAAAAGTCTATTGCTTCATTGGAATCCATGTAGATCTAGCCTCACTGCCCAGTGACTGTAGAGGGGGTCTGGGCAGCGAGACTAGAAAATATAATGGCTGCAGGTACTGAACTTGTCACAAAAAAAGATAAATCTAATAAAAAGAGAAGATAAAATGAGATATGCTGCACCTTTTATTTAAAAGAAATATTTTATTTTATAATGTTTTAAATCAAATTTCAAACCATTTTACTGACATTTTGCATCACGTGATCTACTGGCCTTCCTTCTTCGCGCAATGATGAATTTGTTTTTTGTTGCTCTCCGGCTCCTCGCAGTCCTCAGTCTCCTGCTTCAGTTGACTTGTTGTGCAGCAAATTTTACTAGTAAGTAATAATGCACTAGCAGTTTTTCATCCCTTACTATTGATAGATACAACAGTAAATACTGCGCTAGCAGTTTTAAATTCTTAATATTTATAGATATAACAGTACAGCCAGTGTCTATTAATACAACACTCAACTCCACTGTTGTCTTCTCTTGTGAAGCTGAGGGAGCTCATGAACTTAATTTTCGAGTTAACGATACACAAGCTACTCATAACAGTTTTACTGAATCAGGATTTAATGTAACAACAACTACCAGTAATAATACTATGAGAGCTAAGCTACAAGCAACAGCATATGAAGATAATAATAATACTAATGTAACGTGTATAGCTCATCATGATGATAATGATACTCCAATTCACAGTAATGTAGCCACGTTAATAATACAAGGTTAGTTTGTTTGTAATAATTATCATAATGAAGCCACACATTGGAAATTTAGTATGACCGAATGCATTGAATGGTTTAAGGCTCCTTTAATTAATCATCAGTAGTGAGGGTAGATACCTGTCTGGGCCCAGTCCCTTTATGTGGGACCGGACGCAGACTAAATAGAGGGTTGTGAAACAAGTTTGTTTTTGTGACTATATGATATTTTTGAGTGAGCATCAAATAATCAAACTAATTTTTATAGGGTAGAAGAATACTGCCTCATTTTTTATAGTTTATCTAACTTTAATAAGACAGCCCTACAGTCATTTTGTACAGATACACTTCATCACTAAGGGTTTTGCCCAATCACACAAATTAATTCCTTGCAAACTTTTTTAACCATACGGTACATGCATGTACATATCGAGTCCTACTTGATAATATTTACACCTGAACAGTGACATAATGCTCATTTATAGGTCTATTGGATAGTGTTAGTGATCTGGATTATACCTTTATTAATGGATCCAGTGTATTATTAACATGGACAGCTCCTTATACACTGGATAATGTACCTATCACTGGATACTATATAGTCAATGGATCAGTGAAAATTACTACTCCTAATAATAATACTAATATTACACTCTCAACTACTAATCCTGATCCTTGTGTATTAAATAATGTATCAGTTTCTCCTATTAATGGTGTTGGAATAGGTTCATCTAATAGTATCATTTTTTATCATGAATCAGGTTAGCATTAATGTCATGGCTTGTATTGCTGAGAAGTAATGTGCATGCATATTATATTTGGGAAGGATCAGGATGTTTTTAATGCATACATAGTGATATTGTAGTCACTATTCCTATGACAAATCCAAAAATGGAATTTGTTGTCATAGTTTAATACAACCATAGTCAGATCTTCTGATACTATGTTACCATGTAGTATTAAATAGGTTACGTAATATTACATAGGTTAAGTAGTATTCATTATCTCTGTTATGAGCATAGCTGGCATTTGCATTGTACAAATTGTTGATAAAGCATTAATTTATTATTACTATGATTATGATTATGTTGATTATGTTATTAACTTTAGTTCCTCTCATTACTCCTCCTGTATCAGTGGTACCAACTGTAATTGATGGACAACAAATATCATTAAATATCAAAATTAATGTAAGTATACACCAATTTTGATGAAGAGTATGATAGTTTAACTAATTGTGATAGACTTTTTCTATTTGTTCCTCCCATCCCAATAGGTCAGTATGATGTGTAAAGGAGAGTATCCTAATATGATAACTATTATCATAGATAACACAGTAAAAAAAAGTAACAATATATTAACACAAGTTAATGATCAACTGATGATTACTGAAGTAATGACTGTTCCAGATAGTTTAAGTACATTTATTGTTAATGTATCATTGAGTAATAATGGAGGAGATTTCTTATATATACCGTCTTTTGGCTTCGGTAAGAGCTATAGCAGTGTATATTCTTTGATCTCTCATTCATCTCATTAATAGGTTTTCTTGGACCAGTTACTAACATTGACTCTTTAATCGACAACTGTTCTACTATTAATATAACATGGACCACTCCTGCAGTTGATGATAGAGTATCTATACACTATCACATGCTAAGAATATATGATGCTATTACTAGTAGTCTAATAAAGAGTGTATCGGTATATGATACCAGTTATCAGTTTGTGGATAATAATCTATTTATTCATCGTTATACATATGTTATAACTGGAGTTAATGAATTAGGAGAAGGAATATCTATTAATGATACATTCTCATATCAAAGAGGTACAATAAACAATTAACTACTGAATAAATAATTTTATGTTTATTTAGTACCAAGATCAGTTACAAGAGCTCATTTGTATATAACAGCATTTAATGAGACTAGTGCTAATGCTTCTTTTAGTATACCAGTATAATTCATGTCATTAATATTTATTATTATATTGAAGATAATATTTGTAGGTCATAATTGAGTGTACTGGTGAAGCCCCTGAGAATGCTACGATTACTATACAATGCATTGAAATTGGTGTTGTATATGATGATATTGAGCTAGTAGAATATTCACAACCCAAAAATATAGCAGGATCAGTACCAATACTACTAAATCAACAATGTAATATCAGTATTGTATTTAGTAATGAGGCCGGTAGCAGTGAACCATTTATGCTAGCATTTAGTAAGTACCGTATTCAGTATAATGTTAATGCATTTGCTTTATATATCATTGTATAGACACTACTCTTCCAGTTGATCCTACACCATCCCCTACTGGTACTGATAGAACAGCTACTTCATCTCCAATAATATCTATACTAGGTCTGTCTTAAACTAACTAATCTATTCATTCATTTTACTCATAGAAATTGAAGTTATTGGTGGTGCAATTGCTGTAGTCCTTGTACTAATAGGACTAATCATTTTTATTATAATTGTAATGTTCTATAAAAGACATAAAAAAAAGGCAAAGAAAGTAATCACTCAGTAGTTTATATTTGCGTGTATTATGAAGAGTTGCATGCAATTTATTTTTGTAGAATTCTAATTCTACTCATGCATCACCTAGCAGTACTAGTCACACGGTATGTCGTAAAACTAATTATGATATAAAAGCTATCATTGTTGATTTTATTATAGGAAGGAGAAGAACATCAACATCAACACACAAACACAAGAACAATGACTCTCACAGAACTGAAAGAAAATGTGAGACTTAAAGCAAATGTTAACTAATGTGTTATTAATGTATTTTAACTTATACATAGCATGAAGGTTTTATTGGTGATAATGAGGTAAGAGTTGTGATTTATATTTCTATTTTTACTTCAGGATTTTTATAGATTGGTGATGGCACTACATACAGTAAAACTGAAGTGCGTTGTCACAGAATTGAGTTTCATTGTTTTCCCTGTCATTAGACAACTGATAATGCTGTCTCAATAGATGATGCTGCTCCTGTTAAAGATACACTTGAAGGTAGTGAAGTGACACCTAAACAACTTAATAATGAAGTAAAGTATTAGATAAACTATCATAGTTTATTTTGATTAGAAACAACATGAAGAAGCTTCTAAAAGAGTTGCTACTACTGGAGGAGCTACAGATTTAGGTATAGCCCCTACTAAACCTGTATCACAAGATCAATCAGTTCAATATGCTGGCATTGATTCTGTGGCACCTAAATCAAAAGTTCCTCAACTACAGTCTAGTGATTAGGTATCAGCTATTCCACAATTACAAAGTAAGGGAGGTAGCATATAGATCTGTTATTCAAATTTGTTACCAACTTTATAGGTGTAGATTAAAGAGGAAAAGAACTATGTTAAGTGTATTTCATGATTCTTCCAAAAGGCAAAACACTTATTGCATTTGTTTATGCTTGTTTTTAGACTAGCTATTTTTAGAATTTTATGACCCCTTTCATTCTTACTTTTATATTGTATATTACTTGAGTACCATTATTATGAATAATCTACATATTTTACAGTAGCCTAATGCTGTAATACACTCCAATGTAACCTATTATCAAAAATAATAATCATTAATAACTAAAATTACTGATATATTAGTTGCAATATTTTGATTAAAACCTGTTGTTTTAAACCATCTTTTGTCACTATTCTTGGTAGACTAAATACTCTAACAGGAGCAGTGACAGTAGTCCATGTTATATTAATAGTAGAATCGTTTTTAATTCAGTGAAGAGTCAATGTTAGTAACTGGTCCAAGAAAATCTAAACTGTATGAATGAATTATTTAAGCAGTGAAATATCTTTACCAAATCAAAAAAATTGTCAATAGGAAGTGTCCTCCATTAATACTCAGTGATATATTAACAGTGACTTAGTTATTCAAATACTTCAGTTAATCATTCACTTGTGTTGATGTACTGGTGTTGTCAATGCTGTGTTATCATACTGTGCTGATATACTATTGGGATACTCTCCTTTACATAACGTACTGACCTATGAGATGATGTTATAATGTAAATACCAGCAATACTATCAGTTACTTATTTTAATACTGATATTAAATTTGTTGTACAATAGCACTGATGCATTGGAGGAACTGAAAGATACACTGTAAACATGTACATGAAGCCATAGTATGACTAACCTGTTTCATAATTAAAACTGAGAAACTGATGTGCACAAGGATCAGGAGTAGCAGATAGTGAAATATTCACTATATAGTATCCAATGATAGGTACAGTATCCATGCAGTGTATAAGAAGTTGTCCAAGTTAATAATACACTGGATCCTGTCAATAAAGGTTTAATCCAGATCGCCAACTTTATTTAATAGACCTAAAATAGAGGCAATTAAACTTTTCATGAACTAACTTTGAAAAGATGGTATCACCAGAAGCTGTCAATGAATTGATGCTGTACAGGATATATTGTATTGTTATTAATGTCTAATGCCCTAGCAGTTAAAACCCCTCTTAGTACTCCATCACCTACTCTGAAAACATTTTAATTTAATTCTCTAGTGCTTATTTCATTTCCGTAGCTGATATGCTGTCAGCAAAGAATGTTTAAAAATCACTAATGACTTCACAAATGAAATCAATTGTAAAATTGATTGTGATATTGATGGAGACAGGGTTGAGTCACTTGAGTGTTACAAATAGATTGATTTAGCAAATAAGCCTTTGAAAGTTCCCGGGCTCTCTAGATCTACGCGCATGCTCATAAATATTTGGCGGGTAACAAAGTAACAACATGGCCGAAGAGAAGAAGGGAGTTGCTATCTTGTCTCCCTCGGAAAGGCTCTTCGTGGAAGGATGGGAATTTATGCAGACATTAGGAGAGGGAGCGTATGGAGAGTAAGAGACATGAAAGAAGAACCTTACTGGAATTATTTTTTTAGAGTCAAGCTGGCTGTACATAAAGAGTCCAAGGAATGTGTGGCTGTTAAAATAATGCACTTGGATGGAGATAACGCGTTGACTCTTGACTGCCTTAAAAAAGAAGTAGGTACCTAACCATTCACTTTATTATTTATGATTAGCTTAGAGGTGTTAATGTTAGGGGTGTGGTCGTTATTGTATTGTAAATATTATTTATTTTAATTATATGATATTTACACATACCTCACTTAAGGTGGTTTACAATAGTGTACTGTCAATTTCTAAATCAAAAGCGTGGGCGATTTGACCTTTTGATGCATATTTTGAATCAAAGAAATCATAATATTTAACACAATGGCATGGCATAAACTTGATCTAATATATTTGACCTAAACCTTGATGTAGATATGTATAATGAAGATGCTGAGACATGATAATGTAGTGAGGTTCTTTGGGGAGAGAGCCTGTGGTAAGATACACTACCTCTTCTTAGAATATGTGGATGGAGGAGAACTCTTTGATAGGATTGGTATGTGCTTCTTTCCTCCTTTCTTTATAATAATTTAATTTCTCTTGTCTCTTTCTATACATTGTACATGTATATCTCTCCCATCTCTCTCTCTCAGAGCCTGATCATGGCATGGAGCCAGGCTTAGCTCAGCATTTTTTCCTCCAACTTCTTCAAGGATTGGTATGTTACAGTCACATGATAGTCAGGTGATTGGTTTCTAATTGTGTGTAGGAGTATCTTCATTCACGAGGAGTAGCTCATCGTGACATAAAACCTGAAAATATACTATTGGATGGATATGGTAATCATTAATAATTATTTTACTCCCTGAAATCAATATGTGATATACCACTATATCTCTAATGCATATGTTTCGTGGTTAATTCCTATCACTAATTCACTATGTAAAAAAATTAAGTGGATTCTAATTTACTAATTTTGAGCTACAAAAATTCATCATTTTGTTATTGAAAATTAATGCTATATGAAACATTTCTGATGTGTGTACATTGTACATTTAACTATTTTTGTAGTAACATATGACTACGAACTAAAAACTCTCACTATTTTTACATGTAGATGTTTTGAAGATTTCAGATTTCGGATTATCAACAGTTTTCAGACACTTGGGACGTGAAAGAAAACTAACAAGATGCTGTGGTACTCCTCCATACATAGCACCTGAGGTTTGTTTTAATTATTCATTAATTGTTGCATTAAGACATACTATTATATACAAATTAACTTCATTATGTCAGTATGTACATGTGCGTAAGTCTGGACCGCTCCTTTGATATGAGGTTTGATCTAGTTAAACCATAAGAGTAGCTGAACTGGTTTCAATATAAGCACATTATGTACCATATAACAGATATTAATGTGATTATAGAACCTGTTATTAGCTTTTAACTCTGTCTGCCTTTATGTCTCTCCCTCCCCTCCTGGTTCCCACCATACATTACCTCCTTTCTCTTTGATGTGTGTATTGATTGTCTCTCCTTGTTGTTTTTAAGGTTTATTCAGGAGCTGAGTATTATGCTGAGCCAGCTGATTTATGGTCTTGTGGTATTGTGTTGGTAGCTTTGTTATCTGGAGGTAAAGACAATTAAAGAGAATAGTTGTAAAAGGGGTTTCCCACAGGATTTTGGCATAGTGATCATGCAGAACGCCTTATTTGCCGTTTTTGAGGCCCTTTTGTGTCATTAATTATTTATTATGATCATGCATGCCTATTTTCAAAATTTATTGTCATCAAGAATATTTTTGTTCAGAATTAATAGCAATAACAAAGCAGGAGAAAACAAGTACCAGTAAAAAGTTACCCACTGTATGGTAGTTACTGCTGTTATACTGTAGTTACTGCTGTTATACTGTAGTGCTACTGCTATACTGTAGTTACTACTGTTATAATGAGTAGTTAAGTGCATGTACATGTACATGATCTAATTGAACTAACTGTATCATATAACAGTTACTATGCTGGAATGATGTGTACTATGTTATGACTTATGATAGTTCTGTATTGACATTAATATGGTTTAGAGGGAAAATTTTGATACTTTTGATGATTGGTGGTTTAAAATTAGGCACATGTGCATAATGGTTTGAAACAGCAGTGGAAGTGATTTTTTTAACATGCTAGATTCACAAAAACATCCCACTTTATACTGTATGTCAATATTTTGCTCTTCAACAATGTGTTGTATTTGTTGTACTTCTTTTTTGTTAAAATTATGCTCTTTAACAAATCAGCTGCCGAAACGGAAGCCTTGTTTACACAACACATTGTTTTGTCATTTTGTCTCACCGTACAAGATGATTTATTGACGGGAGTAATATTTGGCGAATTTGCCTTTGGAAAAAAATTGGCGGATTTTATATTGGCGATTTCTTCATAGAACTGCCAATCGCCAATATTTATTCCTCGCCAATAAATCATCTTGTACAGTATTACACATTACTTGTCTTGTCCTTATTATTCCTATTAGAGCTACCCTGGGACTCTCCCTCCTACGAGTGTCCAGAGTATCGTGAGTGGTGCTCACAGAACTGCTTCTTCACTCCTTGGTCAAAGATCAGTAACGAGCCACTAGGTGAGGGGCGGGGTCTGGGCCTGGCTTTAATGATGCATTTTTGTAGCACTTTTGAAGAAGTTACTTAGACCTGGTCCTTCCAAACGATACACAATAGCAAAGATAAGAGACCACGTGTGGTGTAAGAAGTGAGTGATACATAATGCAACATACATGTACATTTATACATGTACATGTAGTTAAAGATAAGTATGCAACAGTAACTTGCTGTTATTGTGTCTGTTAATTTTTTAGTATTTTAAAAAATTGTGAATGATATGCATTACGTACATGTGTATAGTATTTCCCTTATTAAAGTTAATGCATATGCATATACACGTAGTATTTATCATTTTGATTACAAACACGAGTATACATGTACATGTATGTACAGTGTTTTTATACTTACATGTACATGTACATGCATACATGTATACAGTGTGTGTGTTTCAATAGTCTATTTTTGTTTCAGAGTGTATGAGATAATGTCACCATCCAATGAAGGTAATCTTTCCCTTTATCTTTTTGTTGTTGGTTAGATATGTTTGTATTTTCACTTTCCCTTTCTCTCTCTATTCTGTTGTGTGCTCCATCTCTTGTCTCTTCTTTTCCCACTCTATTTTCTTCATATAATTTCTTCTTTTTTTCTACATCTCTTTATAATGTGCATGTAGCTCTAGCCATGGTTTCACCAACTCATCGTGCTTCAAAGAGAATTAAAGTTGTGAGTTCACCAAGATACTCAGAGAGACCAGAAAGGTCAGTACAACTACAGTACCGCTCAGCTATAACTTTACTTTTACATGCGTGATCTCCAGCATGAGGCACAGGTGACTTGTGCAGCACAGAACTTGATAAGATACATGATGTACATGATAAATACACGATACAGGTGCTCGCACGTGCCTTGCACTGGTGTGCTTTGAGTGTATAGAGAAGCTGCACTAGTGTCGTGTACGATAAGTAAAGTTATAGCTGTGAGCGGTACTGTACATTAATATTAGTCATTTACTACCTTTGTTAATACCCTCATTGCTATGTATGATACCCTCTCTTACAGCACTGTCACAGCTTCTCAACCTGTTAGTGGTGATGCCTCTAGTGCTGCTGATGTGAATGAGACACTAGAGAGCAGTCATTCTGTGGTTGAGAGTTTCACTCAACCATCACGCTTTGATGAGCTAATTATCGGAACACAAATACCTTGTACTCCTGGGGCTTCTCAAGTGAGGGGGAGGGAGTCTGTAACTTTTTTTCTATAAGTATATTCTCTTTCCTCTTTCTTTCCTCTCTCTTGATCTCTTTTCCTCTTTCTCTCTCTCCTCCCTCCCTTCCTCTCTTAGACATCATTCCAGCGTCTTGCATTAAGAATGACTCGTTTCTATACAAAGCTAGACAGTGCTAAAGTTTGGAATAGACTAAGACAAGCAATGAAGACACTGGGATATGATTCCAAACCTGGACAAGATGAGGTTTGACTATATACTAGCATTAATCAAACCATACTAGGCATGTACATGTACATGTATGTACAATACATGTGCTGTTGGTTTGATCAACAAGCATGACTTTGGGGGTTTATACAGAATATAGTGTAGTATTTGTGATACTGTGGTTGAGTGCATTGTTGTGTGTATATGATACTTGTAATGGTGACATCATAAGTGGTGAAAGGAGGGATGGGGGCTTAAGGCTTGAGCTTGGGAAGGCATAACAATGTTTCATTGTCCACTATTATAATCAAAACATCCTTTTTTAATTACAACAAAAGTTTGTTAACATATGCATATTAGGACAATATTTTGTCAGTGTTAAAATCCCATTCCACATACTGTTACCTTACCCAATAGGCTTGGCCTCCATTGATTCAATTACTAATTATTGAGTAATTCTACATAGACATAGACTATCCCACACTATTAGTACACAGGTCACCAGATACTGGTTTGGTGTCTTGCCAAGCACAGCCATACAAGTTATTCTAGCAACTTTAAAGTGCTTCATGCCCTCTGGCTGGATACAGCATCATTTTACGAATAATAATGCACAATATACATGTATAACTAACTCAGTCTATGTATAAGTACATGTACATGTATGTAGTGTCCTTATGGGTAATATTAAACCACTGGTTGAGCCCCTCCTGTCTTTTGATGTGTCATTGATCTCCTTTATTTCACAGAAGTTGTATCCTCCATAGCAACCGACTACAGGCACTGGTATGGCTGAAACACTTTATACCATACTCATATAAGTTAAACTATTAATATGGTACCAGCCACTACCTTTCCTTTGTATCAATTCCCACATGAGGCTATACTTGTAATCCATGACTTCAGACTCTTGGTTGCATGTCATTCATGATTTCACTCAGTGCTCTAACTGGGTCCTAAGTGAATATGGTATGGTGGTTTAACTCTCTTGCTGGCTAATAAACCAATTATCCACTTCATATTGTCACTGCCTATTAACAATCCTATTAACCAAAAGGGGGACTTAGTCACAGTGTCTCTGTGGGATTCATTATGAACCTTATAGACATTGCTTTAATGTACATACATGTACATCTACATGTATCGTACATGTATCTTATGCACTGTAATTACTAAGTGCTGCACTTTAAATTCGCCGATAACCTGGTGGCTTAATCTGTTACAGTTAGGAACATAATCAGCAGTGCTGAGAGTGCATTATAGTCTACATTATAGCCTACCGGTATAGCTGTACGTATTATTCTCATTATTTTTGTCATGCATGACGCATTTATGAGTTAATTGTGTGAGTAGTCTCAATATTTATGACAAATTAGTTCCTCATATTTTATTCTTTGAATGAATTATAAAACCGGTATATGCAAACTACGTGTACTAATTACAAATTGATACTCCCACCCATTTGTATATTAGTGTCAATTCGAATTAAACAAGCACTAATAATGATAACAGTTTATTTTTCAATCACATGCGCTTACATAATTACCTGGGGAGCTATTTTAAAGTCACGTGCAGTATGTATATAGTTTGAGTTTCAGTTTTGGTTTGGCTTTAGTTTGTGTTTCATCTTTAATGCTAATCCAAATTTGCTAGCCAAGCAATAGTTGGTGTTTGTTTATTTTGCTGTTAATGTTGTGGAAACAAGCAACTGACAGCCCTCCTCCTCATAGTTAGTGTAATGTGTGTGCAGTCATGCATGGAGTATAATTATTCATTAATAATTTAACACTTTGTCTGTATTTTGTCTTGTCTTTGGCTTATAGTGTTAATAAACATAATAATAGGATTATTGTGAGTTGTTGTGTCATATGTGCCATTGTCTGTGTCCTTATTTTATTGTCATTACAATAGTCAACACAGAACCTTTGTTATTTTAATTTTGCCTATATTTATTATTATTATTATTGTAATGGGAATTCTTTTTTTATTTTGTTGTACAGTCAAGTTTAACTGTTAGTGCTGTTGATAAGAGGAAGCAGAGTCTTGTGTTCAAGGCAGTAATATATGAGCTCAGGTCAGACCTACTGCTAGTGGAGTTCAGACGATCAAAGGTACTGGTAACTTAAGTAATCTCTTAGTTGTCCTAATAGAGTTATTTTCTAAATACCATATCGTATCGATTAGTGAAAATTATATTTGGTGAAAGAGTTGCATTGGACATGTACCATATAGCCACAAAGTTTCGAGGCAATAAACTTTCGCGAATGAGGCCACAAGCCTTTTTTTGCAAATTAACTTTCGTGGTTCTATCTTAAAGGACACGTGTTTATGGACGACACAGATAATTTTACGGAATTAACTTTCACGGATACAGAAAATCTGCAAAACAGCGAAAATTGTACCCTCGAAATTAAGCGGCTATACAGTATATTTTTATGGAATGAAATAAATAATGGGCTTTGTTTGCAGTTTCTATAATTATTGTTAAAACTTATTGGAATTTTTCACTTATTTGCATGTACAGTGTAAATTGACCCTTTGAATGTTAATTTGCACATGTGCAAATTAACATAAGGATTCACTAGGTGTTCTATTTAATTATGCTATAGTTGATCATTATGACCCAATTATCAAGTTATCTTTATTTAGGGTGATGGTATAGAGTTTAAGAAGATTTTTAAGAAAATCAAAGATCTCTTATCAGACATTATGTGCAAGCCACCATCAATACAGTAAATCAGTATTAATATTTAGAGTCCATCAAATTTAATCATTCTGACATTAATTTTTTGATTTGTTAGTAATGGTGATTTTATTTATTCTCCTCTCCTTTACTTAATTCTGACATGAAAAATTTTTATTTGTGTTTATATTATCTTTCTATGATTATCCATTGATGATTTCTGAATTAACAAACCTTATCAATTGCAAACTTTGATTTAAGACCACGATGGTATATTTAATGTTTATTTTTGCCAAAATAGCTATAAAAGACTCTTGACTTGATTGGTCCTGTTTACTTGAATACATTTTCTGATTTTTTAATCAAGGTTTGGGATCAAGAATATTATTATTGAATAGGCGGTTAAAAACGCGGGAAGGTTGGGTCTAAAGTGCAGTGGAATAAAAGGCAAGCATATAAAAGCGCATGTGCGTGTCAAGTCATCAGGTAACTTTGTATCATTGATTGTGTCTCTGAAGAGATTTTGTCTCTCGCAGGAGAAAGCCTTCTTTATCTCTCTCGTTGGTTCTTTTGCTTTGGAGCTCACCCCTCGATCTCTCTCGTTCTTTGTGCCCTAGTAAGATGATGACCCGATTCATTACTCCTCACTCAATGTGGAGAAAGAGATGGAATTTCACTCCTCTCGCCTCTCTGGTTGTCCTCTCCCTCCTGATATGCAGGGCTGAGCAGCTGAGTTTTGCTGGTAAGTAAGAGATGGGAGCTTCTGATGAGGAGTAGGTGTGAAAAGTTAGCTATTTGTGTCACCTATCACCTCCTACTATCTGTAGACCCCATTGTGATCCACAACCTGATAACTTTCTATGAGAATAGAGATTAAGTGCACCTGATAATGCATTATTAACAAAATGAGCTGATTTTCCAACCATTCACAGCCCAGCTTAACATTGAAGGAATGTAGCCCTATGTATACATTATACTCAGCATTCATAATATTATTTGAATCTGATATAGTGCATATAAACTGCATGCAATGATAACCTCTCATCCTGTTCCAAGCACGGTAGAGCTGCTTCTTGTCTGGTACATTAATACTCATTACTGAGTAGGCCCTCCAATGAATTGTTTTTAGTTCCATGGAGCACAGATGTGTCGCATTCTTTGTGTGTCTGGTATCTTTGTGGATCATTGACTATGCACTGTAATTTGCTATTGTACTCTATTTCTGGCACAATCCATCTCTATTTCTCTCTCATTTTCTTTCTTAGTATGTACATGTAGTATGTGTATTTGTTATTTGATGCCTTATGTGAAAGCTATACATGCTGTACATACATGTACATGTAATTATTATTAGCATCTTTTAATAATCAATTTCAATATTGTTATTATTGTTATTTAATTGCCAGCAGCAGCGGTGATGATTGATGCTTAGATTAAGTTCGTCTTTCGGTATCTGTGTTTATAAGTTGTTACCCTCCAAGTTACGTTTCAGTTTGATTGCTATCTAATGAATGTGTCAAGTGAAGTAGACATTACCAAAGGCGACATTAAGCCTCTCATGTGCCTTGATAGTAGTGCCCCTTAAAAGTGACAACAACAAAACCCCCTTTGTCTGTATTAAGAGACAAATAATCCATTTCTTAAGAGAGACTGTCTCTTGCTGTACTCACACATGCTGTGATAGTTCTACAGATTGTATGCAATCCTTTCATTGGATACTGACTCATTGTGTTATTATTTTGAAGGGGCTAGCTTGTTACAGTGTCATATTCTATGTATCTTAATGTCAGCATAATGTCAGCATATACCACAGTGCATTAATTGTATAGTACAGTGTATATTTATGTACGTTGTAGTTAGTATAGTATATGAATTAGTGAGTTTAACCTTGGCTCACCTTGTTATAATAAACGATTAAAGTTTCATTTTCCTTTTGTTAATATCACTCAATAATATCATTTGTTCATTGAGCTATTATAGTAACATGTAGCTATGAATTTCATGTCTAAATAGTAGAGGAGTCACCCTGCTATTAATATGCTATTTCTAATCTACATGTAATTAGTAGGGCTTTCTTTATGTTTCTTACAAATACATTTACATGATTGTTTATGTATTTGTGGTTTATGTAGTTATACTAATCCAAACAATCATTTGCTGTTGTTCATCAATGTTGGTATATTGTGTGGTACCATTGTTTGCATTGATGCCCTTTTTTGGAAATTATTGTGTTGTCACGTTTCAATGTATTTTTTAAAGAAACCTTAAGGAAAAGCTTTTTAAATGTACATATACGGTGTAATTAGTGATTTTATCAGCCTAATTTAAAACAAATTCTTATTTTCTTTATTGCCCATTTCTACATTTTGATATATATTTTCCATGTTTATGGAAAGCTGATACTTGTAGTAGAAAAGTTGTTACTATTGGCAACCTCATGTATTGTCACAGATGAGTGATTCAGACTATATTCATCATCATCTACTGTAGTGTCTATACTGCTTCTATGTCATCATATGCTGCTACTGCTGCTTGGGGGGGATTTTTGTGGTAGTAAAATAAATTATGAATTTTTGTGGGCCCTAATTTGTCCCTTAATCTAATTTAAGGTCAACTCCTATTCTTCTCTTGGGCTTTGCTTCTTGTCAACAGTGGACCAGGAAGCATGAGTCTTATTTGTTAATAGTAAATATATTGCGGTACACCTGTCACATTTCAATATGAAGTTGTCTCTCATCATTTGTCATAAAGCAATGCAATCTTTCATGTCTCTTCCTGTTTTGCAATGCTTGTGTTCATGAGTTGAGGTGATGCAGTGTGTCATATGTTATTTCTCTGTGAGTGGCTGACCTTGGTCACGTAATTACAGGATGTGCTTCATAATATTTTATTTTTAAATTCCATGCAGCCTTTGTGAGGGAAATGCACACAGCTACATGTATGCCTTACCCTAGCCCCTTAAATCACTTCATCCTAGTTTATAGTTTGTACATAGTTTTTATAGCTAGTGATTTTGGAATGATGTGCATGTACATAACTTGCATTGTAGTGAGTCTTTGAACACGTGTGCATGTTGTATATGAAAAGTTACTATTTTGTGAGATAGCTGGAATTTGCAGTCGCATTATATTTATGTATAGTTGTTATTATAAAGGGATTTAAAGGGAGGATTGGGGAATATATACACACATACACACCTTTCACTTGTATCACTATCATTTCTATAAATAGAATTATTAAACGTGTTTATAGTCCAACAATTAGAACAAACGATATTCTGTTTTCCACCCACTCTTTCCCTGCCATTCCTCTAAGCTACTCTGGCATGCACTCACGTGATATTTACAATGTAAATAAATACAATATTAATAGAATAAAGTTTGTGCATAAACTACATGTAGCTATACCATATCTATCATATATGTATGTTTACACGTGTAATGTACATGGGATTAATTGTGTTTACATGCACATGTGAGCCTGCTTGAGTCATGTTCTATTACTTGTAAAAATGGGGACATGTTCTTTGTTCTTTATTAGCTTTAAGACTTACAAGTGTGTGAAGAGACATCGTGTTACTTGGCAACGATACTTGTCTTGGCAGGGGCTATATTGGTTTATCTTTTTTAGTGTTGCTAAGTAAACGAGAGAGAGAGAGAGAGAGAGAGAGAATTAAAGCTAAGATTAAGGAGAGGAGAGAGGGAGAGTAAATGGGAAGGATTAACAATACATGGGCTGGAACATGCTAAACGTTATATGCCCTACAGCATATGTTTACTGTACATGTATATTTTGTATTGTTTGAGTGTGAAATTATAGCGACGCTTGGGATACGTGTGACTTTTATTTAGTCTGTCTCCTTTTAATTCATTCCCAACTTGTTTGACAACTTCTTTTGTTTGACTGTCAACAAAAACAGTGTAATTACAATCCTACATGTAGCTCAGACACATCAATAGCACAGACACTCTTGTTGTGTGGACGCTAGGGTCAATTGTCCCATTGGGTGTGTGTCAATTTATTTAATTTCCACCAGTTGATAGGTGATTAGTGGGACTGGATTTTGGGTCTGTTGTTAGCCACACCTCTTAAATCTTCTTTGAATATTGTAATTAATTCTTCATTATGCTGTCTCTGTGTATGTGTCATACTCCGTGGATGTTGTGTCTGGTTCATACTATACTGTACATGTACCAGTATTGCTCCATGTACTTTGCATACAATATGCATGTAGTAGCTACAGTGTACACGTGCATGTATGTGCGTGTGCTTATAGACTGAATGCTGGTGCATTATTTGTACTTTATAAGTGTCAATCAGTGTGTCTGTCTGTAACATACACATCCTCTTGATTCATTAGCTGCGTGAGCATTCACTATCCGCTGGTAGCTTTATAGAATTTAGCTAGTATACAGCTTTAAGACGTCATGTACGTTGTACAATACTGGCTGCTGTTTCTTTTAATAGTACAGTAGTAGTAGTAGTGTACTCTATGTAGTACAAATGTAGGAAGTCACTGTTATACTGTATAATCCTGTTGGTTAATGAATGATGTCAATATTATGGTGTACATATGGATGCATGTGCTTCAATAATGAAACCAGTTCTATGGTTATACCATAAATGGACTCTATGAGGGTATTATATGTTATACATGTATATATATGTGTGTGTTCTGTAATGTTTGTTTTTTAATGCTTGGTCTTTTATTGTTCCATATGGAACTACTGACTAACTCAATCTACTTGTAATGGTAATACCATTGATCCATTGATTATTTTCCCTTCACTTTCTCTCTCCTTTGACTGATCTCATTGTTTATTTTTGTCTCACTAAATCCAGCAATTGTTTATTGACCCTGGACATGAGAGAAGAGAGAGGGGGAGTTGTTCCTAATGGAGTTGTTTATGTTATTATAAGCTGTACATGTGTATATGAGGAGAGTGTATGTCCAATGGACCTTTTACTGTGTTTGGTTAAAGTCTTCGCATGTATGCATTGATTAATGATTCATCACATATCCACATGCTCTCCATGTTGTGTTTTGATATGATCTTAATTATATCATATATAGTACATTGTGTATTGTGGCCCTTGTGACATCCTCTCTCTCTTTGGGTGTCATTCTTTTTTGGTTGGATGTGTCTGCAGTATTATAGATAATTCTCTCTTTATAAATCTCTCTCTCCTTTATCTCTTCCTCCTTTCCTTATGGTTAATTATGGTCTAGCTCATGCATTCTCTATCTTCCTTTAATTACATCTTTTGTATGTCTTATTCTTTACTAGATTTCTCTTTCCTCCTCTTGACTCCACCACAACTGGATATTGTAATCCTACTTCTCTGTCTCTCCTCTTTTCCTTCATCCATCCTTTCTGTGTGTATACATGTATTTCTTGTTTTAGTATAAATTTCCTTTGCTCCTAGTCTTGTTTCTCTCCTGATAATATCCACTAGTCCTTTCAGGTACAGCCTACATGACTCCCAGTCCAATAATCACTGATAACACCACCAGCTGCTATTAGTTCCATGTACGCTACAACATGTAGTGTAATGGCTATCACAGATATATTTATGTTTATGACCTAGCTAATATATGTACATGTATGCTACCTTAATGCTTATGTACAATGTACCTGTACCATATATCGTTGCTACATGTACCTGCTCCTCTAAGATGCACATATGCTTTACATGTGTTTCTGTTTAGTTCGTTCTGCGTTATCCATGTACGATATATCTTAATTTTGCTTTGGGAGTTAAAGTGTTGTACTACCTTCACACGCACAAGAGCAGCTGTGATAAAATGGAATGCCGAGAAACTATATATTCCGCCTTCTTTGTCACAATTGTGAATTTGCTATTTCAAAACTCACTCACTCTCTCTCTCTAGTCACTATCATCAATAAATGTGATAGTCTGTTTAATTTTTTCTCTAAGTCAACAGACAGCTGCATATGTTTCTACAATACCTTTTAGCTCTAATTTGGTGTAGCTATGGTAACACTTGCCTGTGTACTAGTTACAGTATGTACAATCCATTATGAACTGTAGTGTCAGTTCTTGGATTTGTAGTACATTTGATGGCAGTATTTATTACAGCATGTTCTGTACTAGTTGTTATGAATGGGATTAATAGCTGTGGCATAATTCTTATAATTCTTGTCATTTAATGTTTGAACAGCTGTATGATCCAATGGTGTCATAATGTCATTAAAATGGACTGATTTTTTATGGTCTTACACATGTAGTAGGTTCATGTACATCGTAATTGTAAGATTTGGGGTCACCTCTGAAGTCTGAGTAGTGTTGAGTCTGAAGCAATGTGTTAATTATTTCTAAGTGATTTATTTAATATCTCTCTCCTCCCTCCCTCTCTCTCTCAGGTTATCAAGATATAACACTGACATCTGTCCCCAAGCCTCTCTACACTGTTAACTCTAGGATCACTGAAATGCCCTGCACTGCTAGTGGCCACTTAATAGCAACAGGAGCTAATGTGTCTCTGGATGTCGTGTTCTTTAGGAATGAGTCTCCATTGTTGAATAAATACAACACACCAGCCAGACACCATTACATGACCGATGATGGTGTCACTGTTACTGGATTGATCATCTCTCCCACTACACTGGAGGATAATGGAGTTCTCTTCAAGTGTCAGGTCTTCATTAATAATCAACTGGTCAATGTGTCCAGCCCTCAAGTGTCTCTCATTGTAGCAGGTGAGGGAGGGAGAGAGTGCAGTTATAGTTTCATGTACATGTACATGTATATACATGTACTTGTAATTTGTGCATGTCTTCTTCTCTCGCTGTAATGCATGCCCTGCGGCTATACATGTACATGTACATGTACATGTACATGTGCATGTCTGTCTATATTAAAGTCATTAATTTTGAGTGTTTTTTGTTGATATTATTATTCGATTTGTTTATTTTTTGCAATATTTTTTGTTATTTAATCCTTTCAACTGACTGCTACTCCCACATCTTATTTGCTGTGATTTGTTATTTCGAGCCTTTCGAGCTATTGATATACTCTATTACAATCTTATGCCTTTGTTATGTTCTTAATGGCTATTTAACCACCTGCGCTTGTCGTCTTGTCTTTGTTTAAAATCATTTTTATTCTATAATGATAATTGTAAGAATCAGTGTACTATTACTGGGTATACTCCTCCACTTTATTTCTATCCAGCAATTTGATTTATAGCTATTAGCGTGACTCAGTGGAGCAATAGAATGGTGTTTACTACTCCTCTACAATAAAGTGATTGGAAAACACTAAACTTTATTGTTCAGTGCATTATAATAATGCAGTCTCTGCTGTGCCACAACCGCACATACTCATAAACAGTTTTTCTTAACCTCAAACTTCTCAACTTCCATTTTGCTTTCTCTCTCCCCCTCCTTCTCTCTCTCTTTGTCTTGTTTGTCACAAGATTATACTAATCTAGTTGTGGTTTTGTGATAATTGTTTGTGTCTACCTTCATTAGTGAATGGTCTTGTTTTGTGCTGTGTTCAATGACCTTATATAGACAGGAGAGAGTAGGAAAAAAAGAAGAAGGAAATGATTTTATTGTATACATGTAGTTGTAACTGGAGCACTTTAGGAGCAGCTGCATATTTTTATTTGAAATTTGTTGGATGTTTGTCATAATTGTGGGCAGATTGTTTTCTTTATTGTTTGTATTTATTTCTGATATTATTCTTATTGCTGTGTTCCTGCAATAATCTCTCCCTCTCTCTCACTCTTCCTTCATGTGTGCATATGTACACTGGCATGCAGCATGTACATGTATGTACTTAACAATACTTACTGTGCACTTAATACTGTCACTGTCCCATTTAAATAAGAATTGCATTCTTCCTGGGAATTAAATATCCTATTCTCCATCTGTTTCTGCCCTCATTCTTTCCCTCACTCAGTCGATTAGTCTCCACTCCACTGCTCCACTATTGCACTAGCTGTTTCTAAGTTTCTTGTGTCAACCATTTCTAAGGGTTGATTTACCTCAATGACCTGAATTGAACCTCTTTGTGCTTGGGCCTACTCTCTGATGTTATCCTATACTTTTAGTGGGTGGGTCATGCTAGAGGCTTCACCAGCTGTAACACCTGTGACACTGTATGGTAATAACTGTATGTAGCTGTGGTCCTGTGCTTAAAATAATAGAAAACAACTAACACCTGGGCATACACATGTAACCTACCTGTACACAACAAGTATATCCTACTGTTTGTACACTGTAGCCACTAATAGAATGTGAGGACTAACTTAATAAGCATTGACCCTGCCTGACCTATAGCTCATATTGTGCATTGAATTGTCTTCCTTGTATAGTAATACCCTCATCCACTCTTAGCAATACATGTACATGCTGTATATCCTACATGTACATTTCTTACAGTATTACATGTATATTGTATTACTGTTGTGTTTTGTGTATTTTAAGTATTTCTTAGTAATTGTTTTAACCTATAAGACTACATGTACATGTACATAATTGATGATTATTGAATAGCATATTGCATTAGTCCTAGACTATAATAACCATTGGACAGGACTAACTTGTTTAACTGGTGCATGTATAAAACTATAAACTATAATATTACATGTATGTCACATTATGTCATGTGTAGTATTACTGATAAGACAATTGGTATTATTATGTCACTCCCTGTATAAACTGACTGGCTTTTGATGTCACTCTTTATCTCTCTAGTATAGACAAACGTCATATCATTTGTCCACCTCCCTATCTACTAATGACTATCATATTACTTGAAAAACCTTTGTAGTTGTTATGTTTTTAAAGGTTTTAACCCTCGCCCCCCCCTCTCTCTCTCTAACCCGTCTCTCTCTTCTAACTTCAACATGTATACTAACTAGTTACTGCCTTTAGTTGCTCTGTTATTTTAGATCCACTGCCTTGCTTATAGCTCATTATCTCATTGCTGTAATGTAGTTAGTTATTCACTGTGGTGCTTGTAATGAATGTCCTCATATGCAAAAGAATTTTAATGTTAAATGACGAAAAGTTCATGTACATCCATTAATGCATCACTTGAAATTATTATTTTGTAATTACATGATGCGTCTCCTCTCTTGAGAGATGAAGGAGTTTCCTCTAGTTCATTGGGAAGGGAATATACAATGTACATGTACATACATGTTTATACAGCCTACTTGTCTCCTTTAAACTCATTGAGATGGTAATATACATGTACCTACTCAATTAAAATACCTGGTCAATTCACTTTCCTTGCATTCGTGAGTAGGAGTTTACTCCTTTTTAACTCTCTTGATGTTGGTAGCTATATAATCTTTTTTCGCTGGAATAAGACCCATCATTTTGAAACTTTTATTGCACATGCTGACCTTTATAGTTATGTGTATTTAGTTTAATCTTTACTGCCCTCTTTCTATGACACACAAAGTCACACACTCTCCTTATTAGTCTCTGCTTATTATACATAATTTATAGAATTACTGCAATTGTGGTTAAAGCTCTCAATACCCATTGCCATGATATTAAAGATTATTTTATTAATGCTTATCTTCTAACGACCAAATCTAATAAGTATTAATTGGCAGTCAGACACTCTTACGCTTTCATGTCCTTGTTGTCCAGTATATAGTTCTTAGTTTTGACAGATGTGCTTAGTCCGAGCTCAAGTGTACATGTACATGTACATGAAAGCGTGTACATGTACATGATGTCATTAATTTTATGGTTCAGCCTTGGAGGTTTTCTCTAAAGATACCGCTTTGCTTTACGGGTCAAACCTCAGCCCTCCTGGCAGGTGTCCTATTTTTAATATTGGATCACCTACGTTGAAATACTTGGTGAGATTCTCCCTCTGGTGTGGGTCCCTTGTTTCCTAGCAACACCACAGTGTCTGATTGCTTGTACTAACATTGGGTTCTTGTCCTTCAGGTGTGTCAATGCGTCACTTGTTGAGTCTTTCTATTCCTCTTTGTCATATTGTGGCCAGTTAGTTGTAATAATCTTGTGGGTATAGCATCTGGCCTTTATTGGGTACATAATCATAAATTATATTATTAATAGTAGATGTACATGTATATCAGAATGTGTACATGTACATGTACACATATTGCGCATGCATAAAATAGATGTTGTACATGTACATGTACATGTATATCTAGTTCCCACCATTTGTGGTGCAGTCTACCAGCCAGTCAATGTTCTCAGCCACTTCTTTGTAGTTATACATGTACACGTACTGTGTGTGTATGTGTGGTTAGTTCTTGTTTGATTCTGTTATTCTGTCTGGTGCATGTCTTTTTCTTTTATATTTTGTTTATTCCTCAGTTCATTCAAAGGGTAACCCACTAATACATTATCCTCTGAAGTGGTTAAATGATCCTCCTACAGTATTACAGCACAGTCCAACTTTTATTGATTCAGTGCACTAGTCTATGCGACTTTGCTGTGTGCATGTTCCTGTTTGTCTCTGAGTTTTTCCTTTTTTGTGTGTTTGTATGTAATTAATCCTCCCTTTGTCATGCAAGGGAAATACTTTGAGGCTTTTACATCATATTACATGTACATGTACATGTACAGGTACATGCAGTGTGTAAATACTACATGTACATGTACAATTGTATGCTGCATGTACTTTTAAAAATAGCTGCCATCTTGGAAAATCCTATACATGTACATTTATGCATCTATCCTGCTGCCTATATAATAAAATTTAGTGATAGAATATTATATTAAATATGTTCTCTTTATTTCTCTTTAGATGGTAGGCCCCCAGCAATCCCCCTCCAGGTATCATCAGTTACAGTTCAGTCAGTAACCTTACAATGGAGTGCCCCTCTATTGCCTAGTGATGGCCCTGTCCTTCACTACACTGGTTACCTCTATGATGATGATGGTAGCACTGTCCTATCAGTATTTAATATCAGTGGGAACTCATCGAGTGCTACATACAGTGGTCTATTGCCTGATAGGCAGTATCGTGTTACAGTGGTTGCTGTCAATGACTATGGTAATGGTAATGTGTCTACACCGATATCTTTTAGGACATCACAATCAAGCCGTAAGTCAACACATTTACTTTTAAACTTTTTAATCTACATGTATAATGATCTGTATACATGAATGTACATGTACAAGTACATGTATTAATATTTATTTATTCTCCCCCTCTCTCTCTCTCTCTCATTACAGAGGCTCCTGCTCCAACTGCTCTCTCATTCACACTGTTAGCTGGTAATGGTAACTTGGAAATTGGTTGGGACGTAAGTCAATCTATCAATAATTTGTTGTTCTTTGTTTTTTTATAATTACTATTAATTTTTTTAATAATTAAGTTATTAATGCAATCAATTCTCTGATAGATATTTAGTGCATGATGTAGTGCATTAATTGTAAGGATATACTGCATTTCCGTATATTCACTAATCTATTCTTTGTACACACATAAAAGAGTAACTTGTAGTGGCATTTACACACATGCACACGCACACACTTGCAGTAATTACTATTGTAGCAGTCATACTATAATTGTATTCTTAGTCACATTACATGTAAATGTATATTGTATTGTGCACTTGTTGTGCATGAGATCAAAGTTAACATCAAAGACTGTTTTCCTTTCTCATCATTTCTAAACTATTTTTATTAGTTCTTATTCAAAGGTGGGGCTTGTATCGACTCCTTTCTGTAATGATATTCGCTAATATTTATTTTTGAGTGTAGCTAATCAGAAACCCCATCAATGTATGCGTTTATAAATTGGCTTCAAAGTGGCTTTAAAATATTTATGCAGCTGCACTGGGGTGACTTGATTAATTTAGTCCTGTATGTATATCTTTCTTCTCCCCACAAATTTGATAATATCACACTTGAGCTACACTGTACATGCATCATTATTGTTTGTCTCTCTTCTCTTAGAAGCCAGTTATCAACAGCTATGATACCACTTACCCTATCACTCACTACATAGTTCAGCACAAGCTCTATTCTTCACCATCCTTTATTACTGAGAATACGCCGGATAATTCCACACTCTCTTTCCGTCTCCAAAGTCTCACTATTGGTTCTGTGTACGTCTTTAAAGTCACTCCTTTTAATTATGGGTCTGGCACTCCTAACAGTATTGAGAAGACTTTTACAATGAGTACGTTATACCTTTGAAATATTTTGCAACAATATTTATATCTTTCTTTTCTCTCTATTTCTCTTTGCTTTCCCTTCTCCTTTTCTTCCAATAGCTGAACCAAATAGTAAGTGATGTTGTGTTATGTGCATGTACTTGATGTTTGATGTACTTGCAATTGTTTTATGTCATTCGTGTTGGACAGGGTTTCCCACAAAGCATGCTAAGTGCATGAGCTAAACAGCATGCACTTTTGAGCAACTCTAAAATTCAATTTTAATTTAAATCAGCTCACTTTCTATGCAACATATAACATGCACTTGTACCAAAAATTGTAATAGTGAAGGATTTTTTCCATTTTAATTTTGGCAAAATTTGGCCCAAGACCCAATACAGGGACTTTGGCCAGATTTTTGAGCATTTTAAAAAATTCATAAGAAATCCAATTTTGATTGGAATTAACTGAAACTTTCTACACAACTAAAGTACAGTGTATCAAAAATTGCACTAATAGTAAATGATGTTTTTTTTGAAATTAAGAAAGTACTGGCAAGGTGCTGAGCACTATCCTGATTACCAAAATGATGTGGGAGAACCTGCTGCTTGTACTCAACGTTTCATGTACTTGCAGTTGTTTGTTATTTACAATGCATCATGCATACTTGCACAGTGTAGGAGTATATTGTATGCTTGTAACATGTATTANATTAATGTACATGTACATGCTTTATGTGGAACACACACAAACTGATTCATGCACATTGTGTCTTAGTTTTTATGTTTGTGTGTCCATTCGTCTGTTAGCCATCTGTCAGTTTGTCCATTGTCTGTGCAACATATTACATGCTCTAGTGTCCTAACAATCTCTCTCTCTCCTTACACAGCTATTGCTTCATCAACAGCAACACCACACACTACACCAACCACCACTAGCTCACTCACTACCAGCTCAGTTGCACCTAGTTCCACTCACTCCACCACATCCACAGGTAGCATCATCATAGCTAGCTCCGAAAGCACAACAACGCATACTTCTAAAGTGTCTAGTCAGGCCACGCCTACAAGCACCACACCTGCCACCACACTTGCATCTCATTCAACATCAAGTTACACTTCCTCTTTTATTAATTCAGTTAGTGCCACGCGTAGTTCCTCTTCGACCCTCTCTCCCTCAGTAGAAGCTACTACTGATAGTAAGCATAAGTGTCTTATCTCATTCTGTCTGTGTACGTCTTATAATATACAGATGATGTGTGTAATGGTGAACTGATATCACCATTGGGTAGATACATGTATGTAGGACTTTAGTTTAGTTTTATTCACTTTTACTCTCTCCATCTCTTTCTTCAGGTTATTCTGGTGGTTCTGATGATTTTAGCAATAAAGCGATCGTGCTGGCTAGTGCTGTGATAGCATCAATAATTCTAATTGCAATCGTCATAATAGCTGTCATACTTGTTGGATTCTGTTTCTATACTAATAGAAGAAAGCATGGAGATGTTAACCTTTCTGTAGCGGTAAGGGGAAAAGAGAGTGTGTGTACATTGTATGTGAAGATAATGAGAGAGTGAGTGAGTGACAGAGTTCTCCAAAGCCCCAATTTATTAATGACTCTTTGTGTAATCAATAGGCAACTTGGCCTGAAAGACGGCCATCAAACATAAAGAGAAGCGGAAGTAAAGACAGTTCAATCAAAGGGTCCTCTCTCTCAGGCAGCATCAGTCACAGTCTCTCGTCAGATCAAGACTTACCATCCATTCATATGAATGGTCCACTGAGTCACACATCATCAAGCAATGTACCATCTGATTCACCATCGAGTCATAAGACTGACACTGACCTTAGGAGCATTGAAGAGCTCTCTGAAGATGAGATAGATGAGAAGCCAGTGACCACAGAAGTATAGGAGCTACATCTAGAGGCCATAATGACACCCCGCCCTTCATTGACCCATCTTTCTCTAGATGATATGTAAATTTGCCGTTATCACTGACTTTCACACTATCTGTCCTCTTCTCTCTCTCTTTTTACACCCTCAACTCATTAACTCCTCTCTCTCTCTCTCTCTCTCTCTCTCTCTAAACTTAACTAGTGAACATAAAACAATTTTTAAATTCTTCTTGTTTGTATCATATACTTAATAATACAGTATGTTTATTATGTACATGTACATATTTTTGTGTGTCTGTGTTATATTATTTTTGTATCATAACGATTTGATGTATTTCAAAACTGTGAACTTGTTTCTTAGTAGTTTGTTGTGTTGTGTGATATGATAGTGTGTGTCTTTATTATGTACAGACAATAATTATTATTACATTTTAATAAAACTATTTTCAAAATTTACTAAATATTGAATTAACACTACTGTGGAGCAGCAAAGTTTTGCATATGCATGTACATAAAGTACATTATTCCTTCCTAAATGCTGTTCACAAAAATTAATTTTTGTGTGCACTTCTTTCCATCAACTGAGACTAATACCCTTTCCTTATTTTAATATTATTAACCAGCCAATTTAGGATGAGCCAGACTAAATTGCATGCATACTTGATCTAAAATGACAAACCATTAGATATGTCCTAAATTTTAAAAGATAGAAAGGGCAATCACTAAATTTCATGTAAAAACTTAAATAGATCTATGTCCTATAAATGTTTTTTTTACTAAAAGCTAATAAAATTTAGGACATACTGTATGTGCTGATTTTTTTTTACTATCATACTTGAGTAAATGAAAAAATGATGAAACTCTATAATGCATGTATCTATACTTTAATATTTAATCTTATAATGTTATCTATGATATGGCTTTTTACCATTGCATCTATTATTTACGCTTTTTACTATATCCATAGATATTAGAGTCAAAGAGTTAACTCCTTTAAACGTCTAATTATTCTTTTTTGATAACAAAATAACTGAATACTTAATATATGTACAATGTACATCACGTACTTTAACTCTAATCATTGTCTATGCTAGTATGCCATAAATAATAAAGTAAACTAATACTTTCATTTGCTATCTATAACATGAACTAGGTAACAAACATGAACCATAAGTCTGAGTAAACTATGGTATCATGTGCATGAATAGATACCACGCCCAATTTTTGATTGGTTAAGGTTCATTCGATAATTAATATGGTTCGATTGCGCAGTAGTGCATTGCCCGCCCATATTCAGATTGTGGTTCTACCTTGTGCTTAGCTCGGTGCTTAGGGTTCCTTTTGGCTGGTTCATCTACTATGACTTCGGCAATCAGCTCCATAATATTAGTGAGACATCCAGAATTTTCTGTTTATGGTTATTTATTTTATATATCTAGCTATGGTTTCTTTTCTGGTGTAAATCTGCTAACGGAGTTGCAGATAAAATGTCATCTGCTGTTTGCACAAATCCTTCATTGGTATGGTATTATTATTATTTTTGTATAACGAGAAATTTTTATGGCACACAAATTTCGCAAATTATCCAAAAATCTATTTCGTGGTTTTAATTTTTATGATTTTCTGACTTTCAACCAGTTGAACCAATTTTTGTGGACCTTATTTTCATAAATGTTTTAAAATCACGAAATTCACAAAAATTTTGGATTACAAAAGATTCTAGATAATACGGTTATAAAAATAGTATTAGTGTATAATTTAAAAATCAAAATTAGTCAATAGTTAACAAGAGTCAATAAAATGACCTAATCTTTATGATGGTTGTATGTCTAGTGGATGGAGCCCCTTAGTGTTTTACATTCTTGTAATTATTATTATATTTACTTATATTTATAGTGTTCTGTTACTTGTGGTGGTGGTTGCATGATCCAGTACTGCAGGTGTGAGGATCAGGCTGGTACTGCCTTAGCACTTTGTGGTAGTCAACCTTGCTGCTCTCTTGGAGATTTTGTCAATGGAAATAATCCTCTTTCATGTATACAGTGTAACATGCAAGCATGTCCTCCTGGTAAGTGCCTGTTGTGTTGTTGCTATTGTTATTATCAAGAGTACATAATATTTTATTATTTTTTGTTATTGTTATTTTTGTTTTTGTGGTTTAGGTGGACCTGCTTCTGTTAATGGGTTTATTCCTCATACAAGGACATTCACTCTTGTTGATGGTGTTACTGGAATGATAAATGTTACTACTACCAGTGATACAGCAAAGATTAGTATCAACATTAAAGTACCTAATCCAACTGGTTATTCTACACGCTTTGATACTATACTAATAGCTAATCAAGTACATAGAAGTGCCTCACAGATTTTCTCTGATGTTAGTTATGAAATTGTTAATGGAAAGGTTACCATCAATGGGCAGTCATTGCTAGCTGTTGGTCCTTTCGTAGCTGTTAGAACTATACCATCAACTGGTAGTTTTAGCTACGTAGGATCAGCAGGTGTATATCAGCTAGGCCCTGGATCTGGAGTGGCTGCATTCTCTGGATTCCCGACCTATTACTATGTATCACCACTTGGTCACCTGTATCAGTATTCTGGGTCTAAAGCCACGAGAGACAAAGCACCAGGGAAGGTGTTTGTTAGAGTGAACCCAGTACGGAATGAACGGTTAATAATGACATCAGAGAATCCTTTCATTACTAAACAGTTAAGCAAATTATCTGGTGCTGCTATAAGTATAGAGCCTGTTGGTGGAGGGACGGCTATTCGTTTCACGTTTAAGAGGCTTTTCACCAGTAATGCTTTCATGGTGACATCATCTACTTCTTTAAATACAAATGTATCATCACCAAGCAGTTATACTGGTAACACACTAACAGTTGGTAGCATGACATACAATAACATTGACACTGTCCTCCTAGCTGGTGAAGGCTTTGAACAATACAAAAGCGCCAGCAATGAAGCAACTACCTTTGTGGACTATGACTCATTTTTTATCAATGGTCGTAATGCTGTGTTTTCAACCAGCCCCAGGGTCACTGCTATGATTAGAGAGGGTCAGACGTTTCTAGCTGGAGGTGGCATATCCCAAGCTGCCTTTACAGTTGATGGTAATAGAATAAAGTATGCTGGTGTCACTGTTTTTACTCTTAATTCTGGTTTTACAAGTACCGATATCAATGGACCTGGGCTGATATCATATGACAGCCAGGAGTTCACAGGTAGTGTAACCAATACTGGCATTGAGTCATTTGCTTATGATATTGGAAATATAGTTGGTATGGCATTTAATGGTAATGCAATAATAGCTTTCTCTTCTGACACAAAAGTTAGACTATACACATCTGGTTCTGAGGCTTTTGCTACTAGTTCACAAGCATTAATTAACAATATCTCAGCTGCTTCAATGCCTACTATAACACCAGAATCAACTGTGTATACTACAGTCCTTGGGCCAGGTAATACTGGAGTACTCCAATTGAATGGACGTAATGTAGTATCATTCACTGGATCAGCTGTGAATATGACACTGAGTGATGGAGACATTGTTAGTTACAATAGGGGGACCATCACAATCAATCCTTCTAATTCACGTGGTCCATTCACTGGTGTGTCCATGTTTACTTATGCTCCTAGTGGTCAGGATATTAGGCACTATAATCCTATAGCTAATGAGACCTTTAATGTTCACTCAAGCTACCAACTGGTAGTTGATGGCAATGGCAACACACTCCTAACTAATGATTGTAGAGTGAAAGGATTACTGACTAACCCACAATTTGCAGTCACTTTTAGCAACAGGGATGCTCAAGGTAACTTTTTTCTAATAATAGGAGGTAGCAATATAGAGATGATGGGTAGAAATACAGCACGTCATGAGGTACCTACTGGAAGTGCTGTAAGATTCCTGGGAATCCATTTTAGTGGTGTCATGAATGGTAATGCCATATTCGCTGGAGTGACAACAACTTTCATACGAACTTATTTTTCTGATGATACTGTACCAACCATTATATCAAGCACACCATCTTATATTTGATACGCTTATACTCCCTTTTATGTATATATAACTGGTAGTACTGTATTCATTACTGATAGAACCACTGTTGATGCTGCTATTGATAATCAATTAATGGAACCATCATCGACATCAACTCTGTTACTTACACCTATATCTTCATCAATACCTGTGACACCAACACCAACAGCTCCTCTTTTGACTACTGTTCCACTTACTACTGCTACTGTTTTACCTACATGTACTACTCTTCCACTTACTAAGGGCACAACTATAATAAAAGTTATTACTGATTTTGATGGCAATCCAATAGTCAGGGTTGGTGACATTAATATACTTTCATTGACAGGTAGTACACAACGTAAAATTCATTGTGACCAATCTGTTGGTTACAATGGCCAATTTCTAACTCTAACTGGGTCTAATGGCCAACATGTTTTAAGTGGTCATATTAGATGATTTTTCTTCTATAACATGGATGGAGTAGTTTTGGAAAGCAGATCAGTATATGGGTTGCTACCAGGGAGTGGATTATTGGTGTATAATGATATCTCAGGCAGTGCATTATTTACTAATAGTATGGCTATGAACACAATTACTTCAGCTAATCCTCCAGCTTTTTTTAGATGTGGAATTAATACATTAACTGATGGTAGTAAGGTACTGACTATAGGAAGATCGGAGACACATCCTATTACACAAGGAACAACTCTGTTAGTTAGCTCTGTTCAAAAAATTGAAGTTAATAATTCAGGTTATTCAGTTATCAATCAAGATGGGACTACTGTTCTTAGTGTTGCTCAAATGTTTGATAAATTAATACAATGTCAAACAAACTCCAATCAGGTTAACGTATCAGCCCTATCTACTACTCCATTCAAATTTCAAGGACCTCAGATTATTTCCATTGATTCATCTAGTTTAATTGTTAGTAATTGTCCTGAGATTAATAACGCAATACAGCAAATTATACCAACATTGTCTCAGACAGTTGGCACTAGAATGGACAACAATAACAACAGAGTATTGGTGATAGGAGGAAAAGATATCATACCAGTTGATGAAACATTAGTAAGTTGTGTTGGGCCTTACAATAATAACAAGAAGCACTTTGGCAGCTGGCCGCCAGGAGAAAAGACAATTTAAATAATGATTCTGATTAATATAATTCACAATAGATAGTGAGTGAAGCTATTACATTAATTGATTGTGCTGAAAACAATAATTACTTTTGCCATTCAAAATAAAATTTGCTACACTATTAATAATTTCCCTGTTTATCAGAGAAGAGCAGTTTGATTCTCTTCATTACTTCTCTATAATCATTTCATCACAAGTTATGCTCCATAGAAAGTTTAGATTGTAGCAAAAAACTACAGTGTCAGCCTGTGTGGTGGTGAACTAGAGCTGGCAAGTATGTCATAATAATTAATTATATTTAATTCAATAATTAATGTGCTCTTGATAAAAAGTAACAGCAAAAAATTATTAATACTCTAACTAAAACAAATCCACAACTGATTTTTGTTTAGTAATTTCAGTACTTGATACAATTTCTCTCCTTTGTTGATTAGCAGTTTTAAAAGATTCAGCTACATCTAAAGATTTTTCATCTTTATCTCGTTTCTTAAATAACTTCTTAGCTAGAGCATCATAACATTTTATGTGTAATAACTGCAGATAAAGATAGTAAACAAAATCAAATAAAACTTATTGTAAAAACAATAAACAAGTGTTGTACTTCAAAACTTAGTGAAATTGTTTATTGAAGCTTGTTGTTGTGTTGTGTGATATGATAATGTGTGTTATTATTATGTACAGACAGTAATTGTTATCACAATTTATTGAAACTATTTTAGAAATTACTGAAAAATAAAACTACTGTATTGCAGGAAAATTAATTTTTGCTTATTCCATCCTAAATTTTTAACTAGACTATTAGCAAAATTTTACCTTTAATTATTAGCATCTTTATGGGTTCCTTGCTAGTATGATGAATTGTAAACTGAGAAGCACCTTTAGAAGGTAAAAATAAATTGTATGTTAGCCTCTGTTAATGGAAAAGATGACTTAGATAAGTGTGCCCCAACCAATGCATAAGGCAATGCTTACCAAAGCAGAGTTATATTGAAAGATGATATCACATGTATATGATCAACAAAATACCTACTAGACTCTAGGCTAGCGTGGGCTTATATGATCAACAAAATATCTACTAGGCTACCTACTAGGCTAGCCCATGCTAGCCTAGTAGGTATTAAAATTTGTTGATCATATACATGTAATATCATCTTTCAATATAACTCTGCTTTGGTAAGCATTACCTTATGCATTGATTGGGGCACACTTATCTAAGTCATCTTTTCCATTAACAGAGACTAATTAAGGCATGTAGACTACTGTTTAGCTGTTTAGATTCCACGAACCGCACAAAGCTTAATTATTGCAAAAATAATGAAGAAAGAGCAAAGGGTTTATATTAGAATGAAGTTTATTGTTATAAAATTTACTCTAATAAATAGAGTAATTTCATTTACTCTAATATAATTATTATATTGTGGAGAATGGCTTAATTTGAGCCACACCTTCATTGCAGCCACACCTTGAGCTACTGATTCATCATACCATGCACACTGCTTTGAAGCATTTACCTTAAACTTAGGCAGTTTCTTTACTAAAATAAAACACAAATTACTAAACCTACCTTAGCATTAAATATGCATATTTCCTAGTCATTCAATGAACATGCAGAGACTAATACCCCTTTCCTTGTTCATCAACAACCAATCATTTTAAGAAATTAGCTGAGTAAAGGCAAGTATAACAATAAGTGTATAACTTATTAATTGCATGTACATTGTTCCTTTTCTATCAAACTTCCAAGCTCATCCACCCCTACTGGAGGACCAAAACAAGTAAGTCTTACGACTCACTGTTTGTAAATTGGTATAAATAATAGCTAGTGTAGACTATCACGCTCTTTTCTTGTTTATTGATGCCCAATTAAATAAAAGGATGTTATCACAAAGGAAAGGTATGTACTATTTAGATTCCATGAAGCCAATACTTAGAAGTTAATTAAACAAAGAATGAGGAAAGAGCATGTTTGTTTGAAGTGTTTATATAAATTATTCTATGAATTTTTACGCCCAATTAAATATCATTTAGGGGAGGAGACAGGACACAGGCTGTTAAAAGTGTTTATACAATAATGATAATACTTTATTTAATTTGCTGTAAATTTTCATGAAATAAACAAGAAACAGGTGTACATTATACTTTAAATGGCCCATGTCCTCCCCTTAATGATAATATTTTTAATTTAATTGGGCGTTAGTTCATAGAACTTAGCATGGGCGACTTGGGCGTTAGCTCATGCCTTTCGTTCATAATCATTATACTTTATTTAATTGTGCATAAATAGTTCATGCAAAATTAAATAAAGGCAATTTAAAGTTTTTATTATAATGTACAGTATATCTGTTGTTTATATTCCATGAATATTTATGTCCAATTAAGTAAAAGGTATTATTAGCATGAAGGAAAAGCATGGGCTATAAATATAAAAGTGCCTTGAGAGCAGCTGAGTGTTAAGCAACTCTTCAGCAATGACTACCTTTCACCTTCCTCTTCTCTTCCTTTCTCTTCTCCTTTGCTCATCTTTGACCAGCAGCTCTATTGTCCCAGTAGATGATGATGATGATTATGATAGCGTTCAAAGTGTTGATATCACTGCTGCTCCACTGGAATTGGAGGAACTGTCAAAATATAATGTTAAAGGAAAATATTTTGACATGAACACAGGAGAAGGGATTCAGTTTCAAACCAAGCCAGATGGGAGCATGAGTATCACTACTGTTTCTGGTCGATTAATGATAAAATTAAGTGGCATCTTCTACACTATGGGACCAACCGGTAAAATGCACAACAACTTGGTTGAAATGGGAGGGAAATCCTTCTTGAGGCAAAGTGATGAAGTTGTTGATGGTGATTATTACCTTTCAATAAGTCAAGCAAATGTGATAAAGAGTGCTCTTGCATCCAAGGATGAAGTAGCAAGTCAGGATGCTGTAATAACTGTGCTACAAGGATTGGTTGAAACGGCTATTGACTATCATAAGGATGCGGTATCAGAATCCATTAGCGATTTACTGAAGGATAGCCATTATCCATTGATTAATGAAGCAGTCCATTACATGGGTGAAACAATGGGTCTAACTGGTCTGGACTATCCATCACTCCTGCCTCTCTACTTAATGGCAATGAAGCTTGAGGAGTTATCTGACAATACCAACAGCATGTGGTGGAAGAAAAAGAAAAAATACCCAAGCAATCTTCAATGCCTGAAAACCTGCAAACCCTGCAAGAGCTACAATTGTCTTGGATTGTGTGGAAGGAAGTGTTCATGCTGGAAGTGGGTTTGTGGTGACTGCTGCTATCACTACATTTGCTTCAATCATGATCTTGACTGCATCAATTGTGGCCAGTACAGTTTCCGGTGTATTTTTGGTGTTCCCAAACCTCCTTTTGACTGCAAAAACAAAACAAAGCCAAAGATAAGGAAAAGCTGCTAGATTGACGGGCATTGCTTCACCATTAAGGACTCTGCATACACATTGAACAACATGCTTGCATACACACATTCAGTCCTTGCTTTTTTTAGTATTTTTTCATGCAACAGTCAAGTAGATCTAGATTTGAAAAGATTTTTATTTATAAACTTCAAAGCATCAAAAATGCATTGCATGCTGTATGCAGAGTTAAAAAACTAATGTCAATATTAGTCCATAAATATGCATATGAATGGTTGTATGCATAATATGCTAGAGGGAATATAAACCATTTCCTGTACATGGAAGCCAGCCAGGTTTAATGAGTTATGCTCTCTAGAAAGTTGAAGCCACAATTAATTATTCTTGCCAAGAGCCATTCAAATGGACTGCTAAAATGAACTTCAATTAACAACTTTTGTTCAAAAATAAGTAGCTAAATACAGAGTAATATAAGAGTACAGAGTGAATTAAGGGACATAGATCTAA